ATTTTTACTGTGTTATCTGTCATGTCTTCTAACAAAATAAACATAAATGTCATTAAATCAGCATCAGTATCATCAGTGACTGTGTTCATGTTTGAGATTACAGTGTTGTTACATTACCATTCATACCTTTTACAACAGCTGAGCTCTGATAAGCAGTGATGACATCATCATAACAATCTGCTATGGTGTCTACACCAAAACAAAGAGATATTCAAAAGATATAAAATTACATTTTAGACAGTTGTCTGTTAGGATTATTTGTGTAGCAAATTCTATCTATTCTACCACTTAACATAGGACTACATTGCTATTGATTAAGTGTGAATTTATTATTTGATTATGTTTTCAAAAACTGTATAATTTTATATATTTTAAAATTTAATTTAACAGAATCCAATAAAGTCCTTGTTGGCCAGATTTTGCACACATGATGAGCATAAGTCGTGGGACTGAATTGTAACTGCCTAAAGAGGATAGAGTAGGAAAAGCTTAACAAATGGATCAAAAAGTCAAAACATACCTGCTACACGATCAGAGATCTGGCTTGTGGTGATGACCTCATCATAGTTCTCTGCTGTGTCCTCTTTTGCTGATTCACCTAAAAGAAAAAGTACACAAACACACACACACAGACACACACACACACACATACACACACACACACACACACATACACACACACACAAAATGAATAGAAAATGTGAATGACTAAAAAGGAACTGAATAAAAATGTAATAAATAAACTTAAGTTGCAGTAAAATATTACTGTTTGAAATTTCTCAGGAAAAAAAAAAATCAAATGTTACTTCAGTACAATGTCAGAGTAGGTCATTGGGAGATTTGGGAGAATTCCTGGTGGGCTGGCAACATTTTGAACCAGTTACTGTAAGCTAATGTATACACTCATAAATACAAGCACAAGAACACTCAGACAAACTATAAATACATCAAAGTGTATATCTGTAATAATTTAGGGGTTAAACCATTGGCCCCCATCTCAAATAGTTCAGCTCCAGTTTGCTGATTATAATTGAGTCTTATGCAGTGGATAAATATTAGATTATGCTGAAGCTATCTCCTTATTCTCATTTACAATCACACCTTAAATGATGTAGCAGGTACAATTAAACACCTGTACAAGTTGCAGTGTGGAACTGCTGTACTATTTATAGTGGAAAGGAAGTTTGAAAAAGAAATGAACAACAGCCTTCAGTGATTAGTACATCAAATTCAGCGTAACAGTGTGAATGCTTTAAAGAATTTATTACTTTTTTGCATTATCAATTTAGCACTTTTTGTATTTGAATCATGCATAGACGAACAGCAGTGGCAAAAGCTGCAAGAAACATGGTGGCACTAGGAAGAAAAGAATGAAAGGCTGCTTAAGGAGGATGAGGACATATCCAAGCTGGTGGGCAGTGAGAAATGCTGATCTTAAATTGCTCCACAAGCATTAGTTAGTTGACTGTCATAATTATGACACTTTTCAGATCAAATATTTGGTAAGTTTTCATTTTATCACTAGCTAGCCACTTTTGTTATCTCATATTAGCACATAAATAATAAATGACAGTAAGAAATGTGCAGGCTTTTTTAAAAAGTTGTCTTGAACAAAGACAGTGTGTATGTGTGTATGTGTGTGTGTGTGGCAGAAATTTGGTTAAATTCCCATTCCAGCCCTGCTTGAGTACATGTAACAGAGTACATCTAACTAGTTACTAACCAGATTTACTCCAGGCCTTTCATGTTGTTCTTGACACAAAAGAAACAGCTAAAACTATTCAAGTTTGTAATTTAATTTCTTTTTTTTTCTCTAAATTGTGTATGTAATATTTGTCAGTGGAATGGAGTTTACCACACACACACACATGTTCTGGTCCTCTTACCTGAGAGAAGCTCCTCATCCACATTCTCATATCCTGAATGCTGTTCTTCAGAGAGGATACTTCCTGTTAGAGGAGAGCAGAAAAGTCATCAACCACGTTCAGAATGCAGAACCAAGTGCTGTTGGTCATTATGAGTTACAGATGGGTAACCCCTCCAAATAAAAAACAAAAGGGGAAGAAGAAACAAAATGAGTGCAGATGTGTCCAGACAAGTGGACTGCATCATGCAATAATAGTATTAACATTCTACCATGCACTGTGGCATGTATAAACATTTCTCAGGACTAGATGTACAGATGTGAGGAGACATGGTGAAAATATGCTGTGATATTGCACTGCAATATGCGTGCACAGTCTGAGTCCTCATTTTACGAATTGTTTTAGCTGGAGCAAAATAACACCCCTGTAGAATGTCTTGATGGGAAAGAATTTACATACATACATACATACATACATCATCTAAACCGCTTATCCTTCTAGGTCGCGGTGGGGTGCTGGAGCCTATCCCAGCTGTCATTGGGCGGAAGGCAGGATACACCCTGGACAGGTCGCCAGTCCATCGCAGGGCAGACAGACAGACAGACATACATATACAATCACACACACATTCACACCTAGGGGCAATTTAGCATTTCCAATTGGCCTGACTACATGTCTTTGGACTGTGGGAGGAAACCGGAGTACCCGGAGGAAACCCACGCAGACACGGGGAGAATCCTGCCAAAATTCTACTCCCCCCAGTAAAATCCCCCCTGTTGAATCTAGAGTAAAATGCATTTCAGGACACAGCCCAGGGCATGCTAGCAAAATAAAGGAGATATCATTCAGGCCTTGCAGTGCTGAGATCAGAGGGGGAGTGTAATTTCAGCAGGTGTCAAAATAATCCTGCCAAAATTCTACTCCCCCAGTAAAATCCCCCCTGTTGAATTCAGAGAAATGTGCTTTATATGCTGTAATCTATGAACCAGAAGTCAGCAGAACAAGTTAATCATTCAAGTTATAATGCATGCCCAGAGATATGAGGGGCATAATTTTGACAGGTTCACAAAACACCTTCTGACTATGTAAAAGCTGAAGACTTTTCAGCCAAAATTAATCTTAAATTACTACCATTACAACAGTTGTTCTTACTGCAATTTTTAATTAGAGGCAACTCTTTTATGCAGTAATGTATACTAATTTGTTAATTTGTCTTAGCTATGCAAGCAATGAAAGTCTGGTTGCTGAATAATGACAAGTAAAACAAGTCAGCTAAAACTGCAACGTCAGGTCCTTAGATGTGAGCTTTATTGCTCCAGACAGAGGTTTAAAGCTGTGTTTAATGTGTCGTAACACTTATCGTCATGACTGAAAGCCATTCAGTCCCACCAGTTCTCAAGTACTGCAACTACAACAATCATTTTTATTTCGCAATATTAAACTAAACCGTCGCGGTGAGAGTCTTTGTTTGGCTTTAGATCCTGTTGTGTTGTTCTCTGTGAAGGAAAATTAAAGATAAAGCGTTATTTACACACAGAAATAACCTAAGAAATCCTGAGTGCAGTCCGTAACGTCCACATGTTTACGTGAAGCGCGTGCACGCGAGGGGGAGTCGGATTCTGCCGGGGAGTCGGAATTCGGCACAACACCGGCACCTGCTGCACCATTTAAGGTGGAACGGCAAATTCAAATATGAAGCTGGCGTATAAAAAGTCAACTTTACCCGCAGAAGCTGTTAAAATTGGTCTAACAGAGAGAGCTATTTCTTTTGTTTGGTTACAATGAGGAAAATGATCTGTTTCTCCAGTAAAACTTACTGATGCTGTTGATGCTTCGCTTGTTTCTAGCTTATGGAGGCAAACTTAACTCTAATGCTTCACTTGACTACCGAAATAAAAAAAGCACAGTAACAGACATTTGAGGATACTGCTGTACATCAAATTTGGTGCTGGTGGTCCTGAGCAGAGAATGAAGTCGCACCCCCTCTGTGTGTCCATAGCCCGTCCGACCGCACGTGCATGTTAGTCCCACCCTCAGTGATCGCCCACAGAGCATGCATGCACAATTTAAGGCAGAAAATTCGAACAACACTCAGTCACTCACTTGTCACTGGGTCACTCATTTGATTAATTGGTCACTTGGTCACTCACTCAGACCATTGTTCACTCAGTCACTCACCTAATTATTTGGTCACTTGGTCACTTTGTCACTGATGCAGTCCTTCACTCAGCCACCCATTTGATCACTCACTTATCACTCACTCTGTCAATCACTCTACTAATTCAGTCAGTCAGTCACTTTCACACTTACTCACTTGTTTAGGCACTTTTTAATTTATTCTAACTGATTAATAAGCACGCACACACAGACACACAGGAATTACTCAGTTTAACTTCAGCTGCCTAATAGATACTTATCACCAGAATTAACACACTACACTACATGTAGATCTACTCTAACTGCATATTACATCTAATATACACTAAACTCTCATTTAACTGATTTACTCTCATTATACACCGAGGAAGCAATACTGAAGACATGATCCCTTTGAAAGAATTAAATATCGCTTTGGTCATGGGGCAAGTGAGCATGCATTGTGGCAAGAGTTTTAAATTGTACTCACCCCTTTTGAGTCGAGTCAGTTTTTTTAGTGATGTATCTGCGGTCGATCTCCTCATAGACTGCCTCAGTCACAGTCTTATGCTTTCTCTTAGAGAGCACTGTGAGGGAGACAGATCTGATGACAAATCTGATGACAGATTGAAGGACTAATGATGTTTATAGAATGTACAGAAAGTGGATTGTAGATGATCTCTGAATCTCTCTACCTCTCCTGAGCACTCTGTTCTGGTAAAACAGCACAACCAGAAGCACTAAGGCCAGGAAGAGCACCACTCCCAGAACCAGGAGAGACACTGGATAGATGGATGGAGAAGTGTTTTTTCTCTTCACTGACTGACCAACTGATAATAAAAACAAAAAAACAGAAACTCTATTAACATAAAACAACCTTTTTGGAAACATTTATTAAAATGAGACAAAAAAGAACCTGTGCTGGTGGTGATTGGTATTATGGCTGTGGTAGTGAAGAGCACAGATATGTCTGTAAATACATAAAGAAAACACAAAATAACCAACAAAGCATAATATATTGTTTAGTTTAGTAAGTCACTTTGTACACCATAAAAACTGCAAAATAGCATTACTTGTCCTTGAAGCCTTGCAAAGTACTAACATAAGGGAAAGGGTTTTGAAAGGCGTCAGAAACTCCAAAATCCTGCAGACTTCTCTGACCTGTACAGGTGACTCCAGCATCCTGCCTGTGGGAGCAGTCAGTGTGGTTCTTCAGGGAATGAGGACAGTCCCACAGGTGAATCTCATTCCCTCTACACTTCACTCTGTTCAGCCAGATAGGCCCTTCACCAGCACCAAAGACAGCACTCCCATCAGCACTCAGCGCCGGCCCACAGCCCAGCTGCCTGCAGACCACCTGAGCATCCCTGGTGTCCCACAGATCATTACAGATGGAGCCCCACTCAGAGTTGTGATACACCTCCAGCCTCCCAGAGCAGATTCCTTCTCCTCCCCTCAGCCTGAGAGGCAGGTGATCTACATCACACACATCACACATGAGGAGATATAGAAACAATGATGAACCAGTGTAGTCATAGATATAAAGTAAATCAAATGTTGATTAAATCTGTTTTTAAGTGTACTTACTTGAGCACTGCCGCTGATAGGAAGATGAAAAGCATTTTAGATGGCTTCGTAACACATGATGATTTTCCTCTTCTTTAAGTATGAAAAGAAATTCACATTACATATTAAACTCCTTATAAATGTTAGCAAACATAGATTCCATATAAGTATTTCAGTTTTTAATAATATGTCTTACATTGAAATGAAATATTAATCTCAGATTCTGTACCCTACAAAGGTTTATATGGCTTTGTTACAAATAATGAAACAAAGAGAAGAAAAGATGAAAAGATAAATAAAAAAATAAATAAAAAAAAATATTAGTTTTAAAAAATGATTACTGGAAAATTAGCATTGAGCAGCGCTGTCGCCTCACTTCCTGGCTTTGGTACCCCAGCTGGGTGACCAGGGTCCTTTCTGTGTGGAGTTTGCATGTTCTCCCCGTGTCTGTGCGGGTTTCCTCCCATAGTTCAAAGACATGCAGTCAGGCCAGTTGGAAATGCTAAATTGCCCCTAGGTGTGATTGTGAGTGTGAATGTATATGTCTGTCTGTCTGTCTGCCCTGTGATGGACTCGTGACCTGTCCAGGGTGTATCCTGCCTTTCGCCCAATGACCGCTGGGATAGGCTCCAGCACCCACCCACGATCCAGGATAAGCAGTTTAGAAAATGTTTAAAAAATCAGACTAGTTAACAAACTGTAACATTTTGGTGAATTAGGACTATGTGAATGTACTAATTGCATTTATGTTGTTATTTATATATACACATTTATTTTTACACAGTTACAGATGTTTCTATACCATGTAGCTAGTGAGAGTCCTCATTAGTTTAATCATTGTTCTATTTTACTGAATGTGTTTTTTCATGTGCATCAATTGTGTAGCACTGAGTACTGCAGCAAAGCAGACGCAGCATGAAAAAAAGTAATGCAAATCCTCATTACTCAGTAATGTGGCCACATTTTAAAACTTTTATAGAGAACTCTAAGAAGATGGAATGTAAACTCTGCAAATACTGTTTTTTACAGTGCAATGTTAAAAGTGATGTAGGCCTAAAAAAATAGCATCAGGTGTTGGCATGCTAAATTGTAGTCTGTGCTGAAAAAGGGTAATAAAAATGTTTAATAATGTTTAATATAGTGAATGTTTAATATAGTGAATCAAATTTTATGTTCTGCCACATAATGAATTGACACTGTAAATAATAACCCCCCTCAACCCTCACTCTGTCCTTGTGATTGCTATAGATATTAGGCTTCCATGACACGTAAATGAGTTATTGGGCTTATAGAGGTCCAAATAGTGTAGCATTTTCTGTAACTATACATAAATAACTAATCAATACATTCAAAAATATTATTGATTAATTGTATCAGAAACAACAATTACAAATTCGCATTGAAAAAATCAGTTAAACCTTTTTAGTGCTGAAGTAGAATTAGCATGTCTGTAAGGTTTAGCTATTGTAAGGTATATAGGACAGTATATTCTTTAAGCCTGTCTAAATAATTGATAAAATGTAAGAAAACACAACAATGATGGTTTGTATATTAAGATGCAATAAATATACAAAGGGGCAGATGTATATTTTAACCTAATATGAAGATTTTCTGAACATTTCTAAAAAGTAAAAGCCCAAACTTTCCAAACTGCTCTACATCTTCAGCATCACTGTCTTAAAGACAAATGAATTTATTCTATAATCTCCATATTTAGTAAATAGCATTTATCTTATTTACAACACAGAGTTCTGAAAGCATTTATATCTAGGACTGCCTTTTTAAGGAAAGTCTTCATAGTTGTTTTGACATGTTTTCAGTACAGACCCACAAACATGGATACATATATCTCAAACTTAAATAACTATATTGCTCAAAGCTTAAAGTAACACAGAGAAGACTTATGTTAGATGATCTGGATGCTCAGTGTTTTTAAGTACTCCAATTTTTCAAAATTATTTAACAGTGATGTTAATCTGTTTGTTCATAGAGCTTTTCCTTTATTTTATTTTTCATTCCACTCACATTAATATACAAAACCAATATAAGCTGCCTACCTGAGCAGATTATGTGAGCCACTTCGTTGTTGTTATCACACTTGTTCTGCCTCCAGGGAGAAGATGGACAGTGCCACAGAGTGGAGTCGTGTTTCCTACATTTCAGATCATCCAGCCAGTTAGGAGCTGATTCCACTCTCGCTTTGGTAGCTCTCTCACTGCCGGTTCTTCCACAGTTCAGCTCCTGACAGATCAAACTTACTGTTTCTTCATCCATATTATTTAAACACACATTACCCCAGGTTCCATTGTAGAACACTTCCAGATTCCCCTCACAGCCCTCAGTGAGCCTGATCTCTTTAAACTCTGGTGAGAGAAAAATGTGTTACACTGACTCCAAAAATGAACATTTAAATCAACATACAAACATCACATACATTAGTATCAAACACTTTTTAATTCCTCAAAAAATCTTGCTATGATTTTATTAATTTCCTAAAACAAATGTTATTTCTATGTTAAACTCCTTGTCGGTACCTTTTGAACATTTGGGGAAATATAAAAGAATAGAAATTTGTGCAAACACTGCTTGTGTCAATCTCGCACATGACTAAATCTTACATACAAAATAGAGCTAGCTGAAAAATTAAAACATACCAGCATCAATCACACATTACCTGAGCACACGACTCCTACATCCTCCTTGTGTCCACATTCATCTTCTCCACACAGCTGAAATCTGCAGTTCCACAGGGATGTTTCGTTTCCCTCACACTCCACCTCATTCAGCCATATGGGTCCAGTTCCAGGTCCGAATTGGGCAGGTACCAGAGCACTGAGGGCCACTCCACACTGCAGCTGTATGCAGACCACCTGCGCATCCTCAATATCCCACAAGTCATCACACACTGTCCCCCATGAGCCACTGTGGAAAACCTCCAGCCTTCCTGCACAGTCTCCCCCAGAACCAACCAGCCTGATGGAGCTGTGAGCTGAACTAAACTTACCTACACAAACACACACACACAAACACACACACACACACACACACAAAGTAATTCACCATAAAATTCTTCACACAGTGTATGTGTGTCATCCATATGATGAAAAACATTAATCTTGTGGTTAATTATTTAATATCAACATGAAAATGTAATATTTAGAGCAGTTTCGATGAAACTGTTAACCAAAAAGATTTGTGTTGTAGTATTTTACCAGAACAGGTAATAGAGAGCTGCTCTCTGGAGCTGCAGTTGACTGTTTCTGCACTACTGCAGTTCCCCAGATGAGCTTCACTCCCAGAACAACTGAAACCCATCACACACATGTGTCTGTGTTCAGGACTGGATGGAGAGGAGCTGGAGAAGCTGAACACAGAGCCACAGCCCAGCTGTCTGCAGACCACAGAGGCCTCAGACTCACTCCAGGAGTCCAGCAGAACTCTCCTCCAGTCCTGCCTGAAGTACACCTCCACCTCCCCCTCACACTCCATCCCTCCAGACAACCGCACTTGCCCCTCATGAAACGCCAGAGAGGAACCTGAAGAGTGATCACTTAAATTAAATACTTCCTATTCAATTAAAGGATCCATAAACTCAGACACTGATGCTGTTATTAACATGTTGCATATCATTCTCAAACAATAAATGTGACTCACCACTGCAGATGACTCCAGCATCCTGTTTATGAGAGCATGCAGTCCGACTCCATGATGAAATGGGACATTTTGACAGGTGTGTTTCGTTCCCCTGACAGTCAAACACATCAGCCCAGATCTGGCCACTCCCCTCCCCAAACCAGTCTGACCCCAACACAGCCACAGCACTCCCACACTTCAGCTGACCACAGAGGACACTGGCAGCTCTCATATCCCAGCTTACATCACACACTGTACCCCACTCACTGAGGTACTGGAGCTCCACTCGACCAGAACAGGAGTCCAAACCACTGATCAACCGAGCCCCTGTGTGACCTGAAAACACAACTAAGAGCTTAATAAAAGTCTAGAAAAGCAAAAATGGATCATTAATGCAAACAGTTCCTTGTTGATATAATATGTTCAATTGTAACAGCCTTCATCACCTGCATAGTCTCTTTTTAAGGTATTAACATTGATACTTAACCAGAACATTTTATTCCGACATCACTGTCATGAGTGCAGTTGTGTTTGAGTGAAGATGATGTTGGACAGAAGTAAATCTGAGATTCGTTGCCTCTACACTGAAGCTCCTCTGACCACACCTGACCCTCCCCTCTGCCAAAAGCAACTTCTCCCAGCACCTCCACAGCAAGCCCACAGCCCAGCTCTCGACACACAACCTCTGCATCCTGCTGGTCAAAGCCAGCATTGCACACCGAGGCCCAGTTATTGTTAAAAAATACCTCCACTCTCCCAGCGCACTCATGAGGACCATCCGTAAGTCTGGGCTTCTCACCTGTGTATTCACAAATATTTCATCATTTACAAGACATCATCTTCAATACTTAAAAATAGGAACATACTAACTCATAGAAGGATTTGCCAATCATACTTTAGAACATGCGTGGGTCACAACAGAGTAAATATAAAATTGTTTAATTTTAAAACAGTTTTAGTTCAGCATAATGATCCATTGAAAAATCTAAATCTTCAACATATTTAAAGGGTACATTTACAGCAGAAGTGAAAATGTTTGTTGCAAATTGTTGTAGATTATTGTCTATTAATGACAGCGACATTTGTTCAGTTTTCAGGAATGATGGAGGCCTACCTGCGCAGGTGACTCCACTGTCTTGATCATGAGAAGTACACAGACGACCATAAAATGGATTAAAATAACAGCTGCTCAGTGTGGACTCTGATCCATCACACCACACATATCCCATCAATATTGGTCCTGATCCTGGACCATACTTAGGAATACCCAGAGCATCTCCACAGCCCAGCTCTCTGCACACCACTGCAGCATCTGTCATATCCCACCAATAATCACACACTGTTCCCCACGTTCCATTACGATAAACCTCCACTCTCCCAGCACAGCGACTGCCCCCATCAACCAACCTCACACTGTCTGTACAAAAGAGAGATCATCATCATCATTATTGTTATTATTAGTAGTAGTAGTTGTAGTATATTATTACATACTTAATTACATTTCCATTTGTTTTATTATTTACTTCTTTTAACTCTTTAATGGTTCCTTCATTCAGAGTAAAAAAAGAAAGGCAGAAAAAAATATGGCAATAACAACAATGCTTAGATCATTCACAGTTACTCACTTATCAGAAATGATCATAACACCCAGAGATCACTATAAGATTACTGCCTTGAAGTCCTGAAAACCAGAAACTGCTGAATATTTCTGACCTGTGAATTTATCTCAATTTATTTACACATTACATTGAGTAAGTTCTCTTACCAGCTGTGGTGAGTGTGATTGTGAAGGACAGGAGAATAAGAGCGACACAGCTGTCCATCTCCCTCTGACCTGCACACAGTCTGTTCAACTCAGCAGCAGAACAAGTTTCACCTTCTTTAACCCAGAGAGACTGAAGAAACTGAAAAAGTTAGAGAAATATATATATAGAGAGGGGGGGGAGAGAGAGAGAGAGAGAGAGAGAGCTCCCCACAGCCGCCAATCACACTCACTATTACCTTATTAGAAAGAGGAGAGGAAATCATCAAACATTTTCAGTGACAAATCAGAGGAGGCATTTTTTTCTTTCTCCATATTTATCAAACGAGCGTCAGCACTGATGAACAGAACTCCACCTCCGTCTCTAGAGGTGTGTGTGTGTGAGGAGAGACGCTCGCAGCAGTGTGGTGAGAAACACACCAACATACAGGAGACTGACTTCAGAGAGAGGAAACACTCCAGTGTAATACAGCATCAATGCTGCACCTGCAGAGAGCTGATCCACACACTGATAACCATCTCACACACACACACACACACACACACACACACACACATACACACACACCCACACACCCACACACACACACAGACACACACACACACACACACACACACACACACACACACACACACACACACACACACGCACACACACACAAACACACACACACACACACACACACCCACACACACACACAGACACACACACACACGCACACACACCTAAACACACACACACACACACACACACACACACACACACACAGAGAGAGAGAGAGAGATAAACTAATCATACATGAACAGGTGAACTACATAGACACACAAGTACATATTCATACATAAACAGACAAAAACACATTGATAAATTATTCTCACACACTTATAAACTACTCTCTCTCTCTCTCTCTCTCTCTCTCTCTCTCTCTTACATACACACACACACACATACACACTGATAAACTGCTTTTACACACAGATAAACTACACAAACACTGATAAATTACTGCAAAACACACACTGATAAACTATTCTCACACACACACACGCGCACACTGAAAAATTACTCATACACACAAACACTGATAAACTACTCACACAAACAGATAAACTACTTTCGCACACTGATAAACTACATGCACTGACACTGATGGCACACACTGATTAACTGCTCACAGACACACATTGAGAAACTACACACACAGACAACACACACACACACACACAGGCACACATGAACACTGATAAACTACACACACATACTGATAAACTACTCACACACACATACTACTAACCTACTCAAGGGCAAATACACTGATAAGCTAAACACACGGATAAACTACTCACACACTTTCTGAGTAACAATTGTTTTTTTGTCACTTAAACACTATATAACATTACGATAAACACAAACTTAAACAAAAATACAGTAGCAGGTATACACTGTTTAAGTGTCAAAATAACAGGTAGTTTACTCAAAGTAATATTTAGTGACAGTCTAAATTGCCCTCCCTGAATGTTAGTTTACTTTACACTTTACTACACTGACTGCTTACACACTACAATTAGAAATAACACACAGTTAGTGAATCCTGACACTGAAGGAGCAAAACTTCAGCCCAGATCTGCACAACTACAAGCTCATTCTCAGCCTCACACTTTTAGCAAAACACTACACACAAACCACTAAACACACTTCTCTACATTAGACACAGACACAGTGATTAACTGTTAGCTCACCAATCACTATAAAGGTGTTTTCTTTTTTGTCTCCACGAATGTTTTTACTGTGTTATATATTATATTCTATATTCTATTTAGAAAATGTTCTGTTCTGAATTTCAGTGCAAAATGCAACCTTGGAAATGCATGGATGTATTTACAGATGTTCCAATGTGGAGAGGAATAAAATATCCATCACTGTGCTGAGTTGGGATGTAATGGAATACAAGTATATATTGTGAATACCTATGTAGAGTACAGAAATAAAGTATCTGTATTCAGTTCAAGTTACATTTTGTAAAGGCGGTATTCAAAATACAGTTACTTTCTACATTTTTAGGAAAATAATTTTCAAATACGTACTTAAATTTCAAAAATAAATGAATAAAAAAAATCATATTTAAAAGAAACCCAATTGATGCTTGTTTTTAAATTGCTGCATGTAGCAAACTTACCTGTTAGAAAAACCCTTAAGAGGACCTCGGTTAACAGTTTCTTTACCAAAATTTACTCTGGCTGAAGCCTGAGTACTGATAAATCAATGTGATCAGTTATTAATCTCAGTGTTATTGAGCTTTGCTAAAGCCTGAGTAGACTGATTAATCAATGTGATCGATTAATAATCTCACTGTTACTGAGCTGTGCTTAAGCCTGAGTAGACTGAAAAATCAGTGTGATGATCAGTTATTAATCTTAGTATTACTGAGCTCTGCTAAAGCCTGAGTAGACTGATTAATCAATGTGATCGATTAATAATCTCACTGTTACTGAGCTGTGCTTAAGCCTGAGTAGACTGAAAAATCAATGTGATGATCAGTTATTAATCTTAGTATTACTGAGCTCTGCTAAAGTCTGAGTAGACTGATAAATCAATGTGATGATCGGTGATTAATCTCAGTGTTACTGAGCTTTTATGAGTAATGATCAAACTAATAATCTCCTCAGTAATTGATGTGTTTGCAAGTGATAAGCTTAGCATTGGTGTTGTACTGGACTCCTGCTCAGGTGGTGAGAAAGAAAAAAAATATTAGAAATTTCTAGTCTTCGTTGAAATGGTAAGTGAAATTTCACAAACAAATGACAGCAAGGAACAGTGTGAAAGTAGAAAAATGAGAGAAAAAATGTGCCATGTTTCCCCCATGTGCTTTATCACTATGTATTCTGAATGTATTGTAAAGGTATTCTGAATACGTTTGTTTATATATATATATATATATATATATATATATATATATATATATATATATATATATATATATTGTAATGGAATACATTTTGGACAGTGTATTCAGTATTCAGCCACCACTACTTTTTCAAAGTTTTGTCCAACATTGTCAGTGTGCAGTACTGGTCTGTGTGCCTTTGGTTATTCATATATTTTACTCTAATAATGTCTCTGAGTCGCATCAAATTCAGGCTAAATCATTAGAAAAGCAGAAATTTTGGTGACACTTTATTTTAAGTGGTTCTTTTAGATGATACAAACAGTCAATGGATTCTCAGTAACATGTCAAAAACTTATGAGGGTTAGGATTCGGTTTTGGGTTGAGGTTAAGGTTAGGGTTAGGATTAAGGATTAATTGTGGTGTTGATGTTTTTGTTACTCTGCGGGTCTGGTGGACCCACCACATTATTGTTCTTTTTTTATTTATTTATCAATACAGCCATAACAATTTATGTAAAAATACCAGATGTTTAAAATATTACAAGTGGCCAGCGTAAGGTTCTCCTTTAGCAGCTGTAGCCAGTCAGGAGCCTGCCCATGTTGTCCACCCTCACACACACACACACACACACACACTAACAGCAGGCCATGTAGAAGGAGAGCAGAGTGAAGGGACACAGCACCTCCACACTTTTTTTCCCTGCGGGTTCACCCACTTGTGTAACATAAATAGGGGGTGAACAGTGTGAAGTCACTGAAAATGTGTTATTTTATATGTTCTTCACAGAAAATGAGCAAAGGCCAAGGAATCTGAGGTTGAAACAATAATAAATCACATATTTTTTTCTTTTGGTAAAAATTGAAAATAAGTCCCACAGACCCAAACACCACACAAGGGTTAGGGTTAGGTTTTAGGTAAGGTTGGGTAAGGTTAGATTTTGCGTAATAGAAGTAACATATCAACAGTACATCTACTTAATGTACGTGATGTATCAACAGTACATCTACAAGTTATTTACTTCAATGTATTCGGACGCTGCACTACACCTACTTCACTGATAGGTTGTTGATGTGTTACTGATAATCTGTTAAGAGTTTATTAATCATCTACAAAGGACCACTTCAAATAAAGTGTTACTGAAATGTTAAAGGTGTTTTAGACTGACCACAGCAGTGTGTAACTGGTTCAAACAGAATCAGATCATATGAACTCTGTGTGCGCCATTTGGTGACAAAATTGGATTTGTATAAATTGTAAAGTTTTAGATGAAGTGTTTCACTTTGCAAAAGTTCTGAGGTGTGAACCTCTAGAGACAGTAAACTTTACATTCACTGCCTTGAATTGAATAAATTCACTCATACATCCTTTCTACCTTTAAAATTGTTATAAACAACAGCAAATTTATCCAGTTTTAGTAAACTCATAACCACACTAATTACAATCAGAAGAGGGAGAGAGAGAAAGCAAGAGAGATAGAGCGAGAGAGAGAGAGAGAGAGAGAAAGGAGTCAGGCTGCATTCTGTGAGGAACTGAAAAAAGTCTCAAGTTCAAGTTCGAAAGAGCTTTCAAGTAGGCCACAAAGGGAACGGTGTGGCGAGGCTTCAGAGTGGAAATGGTGGAGAGCGGAGGTAGATTACAGGTAGATCTGGTTAGGTGATGGTGAGTGCATGTGTAGTAGAGCCAGTGAGGTGTGTGTGTGAGGGTGTGTGTGGTAGAGCTGGGTAGGTCTGGTTCTGCTCTCCTTGTTCTTCTACTCCATGTTTTCTGTCTTTGAGAAGAAGAGTGAGAGGAAACAAAAGTTTCTGCTTCAGAACAGCTGCTCTTTGTCTGCCTCTCTGGGCTGTGTGGCTAAGCTAATGTTTTCAGTGTCTCCATGATGAGCTTCATCAGCTCTGTTCTGGACGCTGCCAAAAGTTCTGCAGCTCCTTGAACTGCTGAAACAGGGCAGCTGACCTTAAGTTTTCAAGCACCACTTTTTAATGAGATGCTTTCTGAGCATGTTCAAGTTTTGTACAAAGTATGTTATGGCCTCCAGAGTAACTGCTTGTGCAGTCATTTATCTAAGAGCTGTCTGTAGGTGGGACATGTTCTGAAATATCAGTTTTCTTGGAGAATTGGCCTGATGGCAGCTAAACGTGCTCTAATAATTTTAATCAACATAATTGGCTGTATCGTGACCAGGGTCCTTTCTGTTTCCTCCCACAGTCCAAAGACATGCAGTCAGGCCAGTTGGAGATGCTAAATTGCCCCTAGGTGTGAGTGTGTGTGTGAATGCATATGTCTGTGTATCTGCCCTGTGATGGACTGACGACATGTCCCTGATGTTTTCTGCCTTTCTGCCCAATTTGTGCTGGGATAGGCTCCAGCACCCTGCGCAACCCATGATGAGATCATGAGATGAATTAGTTGTATCTTTTCAAATGTAGCTATATTTACTTTTACTGGCTCAAAATAAATTACTAAAAGGACTACTGGGTTTCCCTTGTAAGTTCAAATTGGTACAGATGTGTATGTGTTTAGAGAGTAATGCAGAAGTAAGTCATGAGTAGTGAGATAATGTTTTCCAGGAAGAGCAGTGGAAAGACAGGGAGCTGCTGCAGATGCTGGTTTGGGCTCATGCAGAGAATGTAGTGGTTGCATGTTGGTCATCCAAAGGGAAATCAAGAGGGGTACTTATCTCAGTGGGGCAGCCTGGCTCCGTACAGTATCCTCATGAGTCACTGCTGGGAGGACACTTTGTCCATGGACTGATGGGACTGGGTCAATTATGTAGGGGGCTACATTAGTCCAGCTGCAGTCAGGACTGCACATTCTTTGTGAACTGATCCCTGCATAGCACACAAGAGCCTAACCAGCTCCATCAACCTCTCCAAAATGTGGTGTAAAAATTATTGTGCAATAAAAACGAGTCCACAGTGCCAAATTCATGTATGCAAAAATATTTATTCAGAATAATTGTAGCCAATAATAATTTTATAATGATTAAAGAAAAAAAGAAAAAAAGAACAAGATAACTGAGAAAAGAGAGAGAAAACTGAATGAAATGGCAAAATAACACTCTAAAATAAACAGTTCTGCTTTTGGTTTGAGAATTCTGCTTCCTCTTAATATTCCTCTATGGCCACTGGCCCTAACTGAGGTTAAAGTGCAGCACAGGTGTCCTCTGCCCCAAACATCCTATTTAACCCTTGAGATTTAACAGAAAATCCCATCTTCATTCCCTGGATATCTTTATACGTTGTGTATAATGATCAGCATACAGAGAACAGAGGAGTACAGAATTATCTCTCCCACCACAGCAATACATTCCATACATTACACACTTAGATCATATGAAATTCAACATATAGACTTTAACATGTAATCCTTATTATGCCTGTGTGGATACAAATTACCAGCGTAATAATCACACAATCATTATGGTCTGCAAATAACATAAGTAAGAAAGTCTGGATTTTTATTTTTGCAGCAAAGCACAGTATTAGGTGAGTGGTTATGCTTTATAACTGCCCTATAAACAGTTATAAGGTGCTACCTTAATTCAAAACCAACACTGAAAAAAAGAAAGCTGTCTCTAACACAATAAATGGATTAAGCTGCTTAAAAAGATCAAAGTAGGATCATAGTAATGGAATCAAGCTGGTTAAGTCTGGAGCCACTCAAAGAAAATGTGAAAGTTTGATGATGCTTGTTGAAATAAACGTTATGCTACTTTAGATGTGTAAAGCTATGATTAATAGTTTTTATGCTTAATAAAACTGTTTTAATTAGGATCTAAAATAGGTTTGAATGTAATTTCCTGAGGAAAGACACTGGCTGTGTGCTCTTAGTCACAGGATTCATCTCTGCGTGAAGCTCGTACTCCTCATCACCATAATCTGTAAAATCAATATATCGTTGCTGAAAAATATGCATGTGCATTTTTCTCAATTTTTATTTTTCTATATCATTTGAACATGGCCACTGCCTTTTCCACTGTGTAAACATTTCTTGATGAATAGATCAAAGGAAATGCACCAAAATCACCTGGAATTAAACTTCTTTACATTAACATACATGTTAGGACTATTTTTTCTCCATTACCATTGGTTACCATTTCAGAGATGGCATTTTGTGTTTCTACAACTTTCAGAGAAAAACACGCAAACAAAAACAATAAACAGGAAATAGAGCACTGTGTTTGTCTCTTTTTAGTACTGCAGACTGCAGCTCAGATCATGTTGTTCTGTAAATGAATATTCTCTCTTACCTATATTTGTATAGATGTGTTAACTTAGAACATGGCATCTTTGGTTGCAGAACACCACAAGAAATAAAAGTATTTGATGGTTTACCTAATGAACTTAATTGATGTACCTAAATTTTGCCTTTCCATCACTTTGGTAAATGCTGGTCTCATCAGTCCATAAAATGTTTGTGGCTCATCTCGGTGGTGTTTTTGTTTTTGTTTTTTGTTTTTTTGCTTTGCCCAGTTTTCTCCGAGACCTGTGAAACCAGCCACCGCATCTTTTCGAGCTGCCGCTCACGCAACGTCATTGGACAGCTGAACGCGCTCGGAGGAAAGCGCCAACCGCCAGATCTGTTACGTCAGCTAACAGACGCCTGCGCTGACTAGCATCGCGCTGAGTGAGTGGGGGGAGACAGGCAGCCATCCCACCCACCCAGAGAGAGCGAGGCCAATTGTGCTCTCTCGGACTCCCGGCTACGGATGGCTGTAGCATCACCAGGGATCGAGCTTGCGATCACCTGATGATAGGGCCAACGCTTAGACGGTTGCGCCATTCGGGAGCCCATCTCTGTGTTTTTTTGTGAAATTCAATCTAGCCTTCCAATTCTTACTGCTGATGAGTGTTTTGATGAGCGGTAAGGCCTCTATATTTCTGCTGTTAAAGTCTTCTTCGAATGGTGGACTGTGATACCTTTACTCCTGCCATGTGCAGGTTGTTGGTGATGTCACTGACTGTTGTTTTTGTTTCTTCTTTTTATTTATCCTTTGTAACTGCAAATGTATTCTTCACAGGTGAGACCCAGGGCTTAAACTAAGTGTAGACATCTAAGATAATAAATATAACAGGGCACATCTGAGCGACAAGAAACACCTTTCAGTTTCATGTCCCAGTATATTTGCTCACTTGAAAAGTGGGTGGATTGAATCAAAAATGCCATGTTCTAAGTTACTTAACAAATCTAGATGTAAATATCAGAACATAAAAGCAGAAATTCTGATCAACTAATCAAATCTTTTGATCTCAAACCCAATGTACAGCAAAAATAAAGGAATTGATCTTGCAGTTCCAATAAGTTTGGAGAAGACTGTATGTCATCGCATGTCATTGCATAATTTGAACACTTTATGATGAACAGACCAACAAAAATGGCCTAAACTTACTTGGAAAAAATCTTGTCAAATTAAAGTTAATAATGTTGTTCTACTCTCCATTTTTTTATTTTGAGATATATTTTGTTGTGTATATATATATATATATATATATATATATATATATATATATATATATATATGAGATGCTACAGTGCTTCCAGGGAATACTGAGAGAAGTAAAAAATGCTAGCCAGTACATGAGTAGCAAACATGGTTTTGATCAGTTGTACACATGTAAAGTCACATGCAGTCTCACTTCTTGTCCTAAAATGTAGGGGTGTGGCTAAAATAAGGTTCCGCCTATGGACTATTTGTGTTTTGGTAGTTATGTGAAAATATTTTTTCACAGTATTTTTGAAATTAAGTTTTTTTGTTGCTGTTAAAAAATAAATTCATCATAAATTTAAACATTACAACTTCACATTAAAGGACATCAAAAAGATAAAAAATTGTAGGTATTCTTTTCACAAATGTAAATATAGGGGTTCGGGTTTGGGATAGACACCTCTGAAAAAAAGGTGCCCTATAAATAATGATTTTGTATATTTTTTGTGTATTACTATCTCTATAAATACCTTGCATTAATGCATTTAAGACTTAAGACCTTAAGAATAAAGGTCTTAATTCTTAAGTGTTTTATTTATTTATTTATTCATTTATTTATTTTGCTGTGGGACTGCAGTTTTAACTAAATCAGTAGAATGGTCCATACATGCCCTAGTTAAAGTAAACAAGTTTTCACAAGATGCTTATAACGGAAATCATTTACTCCACCCTCTTTATTCATGTACATCTGAAATGTAGCAGCATAAGCAACAAGATCAGCCACTCACCTTTTACCCCTCCTACATCCTGTTTAGCTCTGATGACATCATAGTTCTCTGGGGTATCCACTACATCAACATGAGAAGATAAATTATGACAGTAAGGTAAAGAAAAAGAAAAACACCTGGTGTTTTAACTGTGTTGACAATTCAGGTTTAAATTATTTGAACAAATTAGGAAAACATACCTGTCTTAATGTTGGAGTTTGGTCCAGCAGCAACAGCATCATCATAGATATCTCTCATGTCTTCTGTTAAAATGTAGAGATAAATATTATTAAATCAGCATCAGTATCATCAGTGACTGTGTTCATGTTTGAGATTACAAGTCAAACCTGTTACAACAGCTGAGCTCTGATCAGCAGTGATGACATCATCATATTTCTCCGCTACGTCCTCTACAACAAAAGAGAGAGACATTTACGATACTTTAAGAATGTAAATTCATATTGTAGATGTTTTTTTCTCAAAAAATAGAGATTTCTTTTATTTTAGAAAATGTGATTTTATATAGTTTATGATCATAGCCAGTTTTCCTTTAAAAATTTTAATTATTTTTGCCCACCACTGTAAGGGTCAGTAAAGCTCCACAAGTGATTCAAAAAGTCATTATGAATACAGACTACTTGATTATTCTATTGTTATAATACTTGTAATGATCTCTAAAATTAAATGCTGAAACAGAAACACACCTTCTACACCATCAGAGATCTGTCCAGCAGTGTTGACATCATCATAACTCTCTGCTGTGTCCTCTTTTGCTGAGTCACCTAAATCAAATAAAGCAGGACTGACTTTATAAACAGTGCAGCCATATTTTTATATTGTGATTTAATATAAAGATAAAATCAGCAGATTAATAATAGACCTCATTGTAATATTCTGCCTTTACTCCCATCAGAGACTTTGGTGCAAATAAGAAAAGGTATCACTTTGAATTACATTTGAAAATGAAACACTCATTCAGTGATGCTTTAAAAGTGAGACTAGATTGTTTCTCTGATTGAAGATTTGATTCATCTCCAGATCAGAAGTGTCTGCAGAAATGACTTCCTGCATAATTTCTTGAAATTACACCAAAACGGTTACATTAAAGAGAATTTCACTCTGAAATATCAAAGAGCAACAAATGTGAAGCAGTTGAAAAAAATGAATGACATTCCTCATGAAACTTTTTTTGTATACTTGGGTAGAGGTAGAACATTAAAAAGTACTAAAACATTAATTTCATTTGAAATTAGTAAGTAAAAAGTGTGTAAAATTTAAGCACATTTAACTATATAAATTGATGCGGATGTAACTAGTTAGATTAACACACACTCTGGTCCTCTTACCTGAGAGAAGCTCCTCATCCACATTCTCATATCCTGAATGCTGTTCTTCAGAGAGGATACTTCCTGTTAGAGGAGAGCAGAACAGACATGAAACACATTCAGAATGCAGAACCACCCACAATCCTCTAAGTGCTGCGACTTTAGACGGATGCCAAATAAAAGGAAAACCTGAATAAATGACTGGAGAGACAAAATCAGTGCTGATGCTTCCAGGCAAGTGCATGATATTTAAATAATCCACATCATCACCACACTCTGTGGTATGTATAAAAATGATGATCAGGGCCAGATGACCTCAGTTTTTGCTCAAGGCATCAAGAGGCAAACATCTAAATGGCTTTGAAAGCGGGCTTGTTGTTAAGGACATTTTTTTTCATCACTCATTCACTTATACTCACTCCTGACACACCATGCAACCAGTTAGTTCCTTTTTTTCCATATTTCTTAATTTTGTCTGATCTGGTTTCACTGTGAACCAACATACTCGTCAACTCTGCCAATATATTTCCTGCCAATATGTTTACCATGAGCTACAGATCGGACAAAATCTAGGAAAAGTGTTTAACAATTCAGAGACAGCCACAGGCTCACTGACTTGCTCATGATTTCATTAATTGACTGACTCATTCAGTCACACTCTTGCACACACTTACTCACTCATTCATATATAGTGCATTCCATTCTGGAGGCAGCTGCCTAACTAGTTACTGCCTACAGAGGTACCTCTCTTATTAGCCCCCTTTTACCCCGTTCTTCAGTGGTCAGGGCCCCCATGGACCCTCACAGAGCAGGTACTATTTGGGTGGTGGATCATTCTCAGCACTGCAGTAACACTGACGTGGTGGTGGTGTGTTAGTGAGTGTTGTGCTGGTCTGAGTGGATTAGACACAGCAGAGCTGCTGGAGTTTTCAAACACCTCAGCATCACTGCTGGACTGAGAATAGTCCACCAACCAAAAATATCCAGCCAACAGCGTCCTGTGGGCAGCGTCCTGTGACCACTGATGAAGGACTAGAAGATGACCAACACAAACTGTGCCTCAGCAGATGAGCTATCATCTCTGACTTTACATCTACAAGGTGGACTGACAAGGTAGGAGTGTCTAATACAGTGGACAGTAAGTGGACACAGTGTTTATAAAACTCCAGCAGCACTGCTGTGTCTGATCCACTCATACCAGCACAACACACACTAACACACCACCACCACGTCAGTGTTACTGCAGTGCTGAGAATGATCCACCACCCAAATAGTACCTGCTCTGTGAGGGTCCATGGGGGTCCTGACCACTGAAGAACAGTGTAAAAGGGGGCTAACAAAGTATGCAAAGAAACAGATGGACTACAGTCTGTAATTGTAGAACTACAAAGGGCATTTTGTAGATTTCTCCGTAAAATGGTCACTCAGTCACTCCCTTACTCACCTGGTCAGTCATTCAGTCATACATTTGGTCATTCACTAACTCACTTGGTGACTCACTTAATCAATCACAAGGTCACTTCGTAAGGTCACTAACTCAGTTATTCGGTCACTCATTCCATCATTCACTTGGTCACTCAATTACTAACTTGGCCACTCATTCAAGCACTCAGTAACTTGGTCACTCATTTGGTCAATCACTCTGTAACTCACATGTTTAGTTACTCTTCATTCATTCATTTATTCATTCACTCTCTATATAACTCATTTAGTTAGACATAAACACATGTAGACACACACACACACACACACACACACACACACACACACACAGCGTTAACCCCTTCTCTCTTTCTCTGTCTCTCCCTCTCTCTGACACATGCGCAGGCACAAACACACACACACACACACACACACACACACACCTGCAGCTGTGTGGTTTCTCTGTATGTCCAAAAATGGAAGTTTTACAGGAATTACTCAGTTTAACTTCAGCTGCCGAATAGATGCTTATCAGCAGAATTAACACACTACACTACATGTAGATCTACTCTAACTGTACATTTCATCTAATATACACTAAACTCTCATTTAACTGATTTACTCTTAGTACATTGAGATATGATTCATTTGGGAAAATTAAGCATTGCTTTTAACTCTGGTCAAACAAGCCTACATTGCTGTATGTGTTCTATGGTATCAAACATAAATATACTTTAATTTAACACAATAAGCCCAATATATAACACTCTATATATCACTCACCCCTATGAGACAAATCATTTCCTTTAATGATGTATCTGCGGTCGATCTCCTCATAGACTGCCTCAGTCAGAGTCTTATGCCCCCTCTTAGAGAGCACTGTGAGGGAGACAGAGAGAATCATGGAGTCAGTTCAGTAGAAGAGAAGACTGATGACAGACTGAAGGACTAATGATGTTTAGAGAATGTACAGAAAGTGGATTGTAGATGATCTCTGAATCTCTCTACCTCTCCTGAGCACTCTGTTCTGGTAAAACAGCACAACCAGAATCACTAAGGCCAGGAAGAGCAGCACTCCCAGAACCAGGAGAGACGCTGAATAGATGGATGGAATAGTTGGTGATGAAATTCGTGGAGGAGTGGTTTTTTTCTTCGCTGGCTGACCAACTGTAAATAAACACAGAATCTGTATTCTTTCTTTAAATATTTCCCCATTCAGAAATATTTAGGCAAATGACTAAAGAGGCAAAAATGTACCTGTGGTGGTGGTGGTGGTGGTGGTGGTGGTTGTTATGGGTGCAGTGGTAGAATGTACAAATATGTCTGTAAATACAGAAAAAAAACAAACATGCACTTAGTAAAGTGAAGCTGTTGGTGTTAACTGATGTAGGTACCATGCTGACCAGTAGGTGTCATTACCACCAGAAATGCTCAAAGCAAGCTCCCTTCAAAGAAGAATAAGTGGTGTGTTCAGTGACCCCAGTTGTTAAGAAACCTTGCCAAAGAATGCGAATTCTTCTCTGGCCTTCCCCTCACCAAAGGGTTAGATAACTAAAGGGAGAACCCCTCCTCCGAAGTCCTTTATTTGAAACTGTGCACTTTTCCTGGATCTACATCCAGAAGATCGGACATTCCCAGTATAGCTGGACGACAACTTTCATCCCTCAAGGAAATAATGATGAAAATTCCAACCACATTCCACACAGGAATGACAAACTTTAGATGTTTGGAAAATATTATTAATAATAAAATAATTATTAATAATAAAATATTGGAAAATATTATTAATAATAAAATATTATTATTATTTATTTAATATTATTAAATAAATAAAAGTCTGTAAAGTCTAATGCATTTTGTTTGCACTCATGTTTTTGGTTCTAGCCAGCATTGTTTAGACCATTTAAACTAGACTTGTCTACACAATGAACTAGACTTCTTATCTTTGCATGTAATCCATCCTCTACTAACAAACGTATACGATATCTCAGCATTATCCGACCTTCATAAAGCTACACCACATCTATAGTTGTAGTACTAAGCTGAGTAAATCCTCAATGTATCAAACTCATTTAAACTGAGCATCCATCTTTGATGTCGTTCTGATGAGAACAAAGGATCAGCTAAGCATACAGTTAAGCTCAACACTCCTCCTCTCAGGTAATTACACACACATACGCTCCCTCTCTAGTTCTCTCTCATGCGCACACACTCTTGTACTCTGCCCCCGCCACCACACTCTCTTTCTCACTCGCTCTCTCTCATCCAGCAGACTCCCCTTACCTGCACAGGTGACTCCAGCATGCTGCCTGTGGGAACAGTCAGTGTGGTTCTTCAGGGAATGAGGACAGTCCCACAGGTGAATCTCATTCCCTCTACACTTCACTCTGTTCAGCCAGATAGGCCCTTCACCAGCACCAAAAACAGCACTCCCATCAGCACTCAGCGCCGGCCCACAGCCCAGCTGCCTGCAGACCACCTGAGCATCCCTGATGTCCCACAGTTTATCACAGACAGACCCCCACTCAGCGTTATGATATACCTCCAGTCTCCCAGAGCAGCTTTCCTTAGTTCCTTTCAACCTGAGAGGCAGGTGATCTACATCACAACATCACACATGAAGAAGCATAGAAACTTAGAATTGCACTTTACATTGATTGTCCTTCTAGAATTTGGCTAAAGACTAAAAGAACCATCTTTTCACAATGGTTTTATAGAGCTAGGATTTACTGTACATTAGTATATTGAAATGTTTAATTTTTAAGTGTCTTACTCGAGCACTGTTGTTGGTTTGGAGACAAAAAGCATGTTGGATGAACAGGTGAGCTTCCCTTATCTGTAGTAGAAAAATACAAAAATGTAGTCATTGAGCAATTTAACTTTCAGACTGATCTCTCTGGACATTTAGTCTTGTGGCCTCACTTTCACATTTCTGTTCATGGCAGTGTTTAAAAGCAATTAACTGTATAAAGGAGCTGCTTACCTGAGCAAGTAATGTGAGCCACCTCATTGCTGCTATCACAGTAGTTCTGTCCCCAGGGGGAAGATGGACAGTGCCACAGAGTGGAGTCATATTTCCTACATTTCAGATCACCCAGCCAGTTAGGAGCTGATTCCACTCTTGCTTGGCCATTCATCCCAGTGCCAGAATTTCCACAGTTAAGATCCTGACAGATCAAACTAACTGTTTCTTCAGTCATTTCATTTCCACACACATTACCCCAGGTTCCATTGTAGAACACTTCCAGATTCCCCTCACAGCCCTCAGTGAGCCTGAACTCTTTAAACTCTGATAGGAGAAAATGTAAGTTTTAGATGGTCAATCTAACAAATACAGATGGGTTAAAGGAACAAGGACACAGTGCCACTGTTGCAAAGCACCAGCATGTCGTGCCCCATTTGTACTATTTTGTTTGTTTGTTTTGTTTTGTTTTGTGCCCTGCAATGGACTGGCGACCTGTCCAGGGTGTATCCTGCCTTCCGCCCAATGACAGCTGGGATAGGCTCCAGCACCCCACCGCGACCCAAAAGGATAAGCAGTTTAGATGATGGATGGATGGATGGATGTTTTGTTTTGTTTGATTGATTTTTGTTGTTGTTGTTGTTGTTGATTTTTTGGCTAATGGACATTCTCATAACCTAGTTGACTTATAGAAGCTGCGATAGAATAATGTGAGAATGTGAATCACTTCTTAGGCCAAATTCATTCTTATAAGCTCATCCTGGTGGTATTTATTTAAAAAAAAAAAAATTCATAAATAAAACTTATCAAGCACTGTGTGTTAAAAGGACATTTCTTAATGTTCAACATAGAAATGTATTTATCCAGTAATAAGCTTTTTTATATCATTCTCTACTGAACTGTTGAAGAAAAGACAATCCTGTGCTGAGTTTGCAGTTGTGACTTTCATGTGATTAGATGACCCATGGACATCTAACAGTCATACAGACAGTGGTGTCATGGTCAGGAAACAATTTGAGGACCAGCAATGCTGCTGTATCTGGTATACATGTCTTATTTCAACACACGTAGACACAATGCCTTTTTTTTTTTTTGCATCAGTGCTTAGACCACCACCCAGATAATACCTGCTCTGTGGTGGCCCTGTGATGTACTGACCATTAAAGAACAGGGTGAAAGGGGGCTGACAAAGTATGCAGAGAAACTGATGGACTACAGTCTGTAATTGTAGAACTCCAATGCGCAGCTATATGATTAGTGGAGTTGTTAAAATGGACAATGCGTGTAGAAACATGGAACTGTACTTAATGAAGAGGCTTCTCCCTTTCTGTCATTTCCCAAAATTCCTTCAATAAAAAACACAGGAGTATGTGGATACAGAGAGGCTCCAACAGAAAACTGAGGTTTTAACAGTAAGTTGAGGGCTAAGCAAAGCTCTATAAACTGCCTTCATATAACCTATAAAGCAAGGCTGGACTGGAAACTAAGTTCAGCCTAGGACTTTTGTTTAGACCAGCCCATTACAACCACAGTAATCCTGCCCTGTGAATAAGGGCATCACCAACCCTGAAGAGACCACTCCACATAAAGACAGAAATGTTTAATAGTGATCAGTCAAAGTGAGTCCACTCGTAACGGCATTATATCCTATGGCAGGACACAGATTTCACAGGCTTCAATCATGTTGCTACTGAGTTCATTTTTTCCGATGCCCGTAAAGATTTTTCTCTGCTTTCTCTCTGCTTTGCAAACCTTGTCATAGGATTCCTTGTGGTTTAGAAGCTCTTTTTTTTTTTAATTAAACAGCCTAATAGTAGATCTGTGAGGCACAAAGTGCTTGGAACCCAATGACTGCCACTTTGCATTGCAATTTGCAGATGAGTTAGCTCTCATAGTGGTTGCAACAGTCCAGTATATAAATTTTCAACAAAAGAAAGTGGCACCTGATTGTTTTAGTTGCAAACAATGATAATTTAATTACACTTACATGAAAAAATAAGCACTGCCAAGCTAGTTTGTGTTTAATGTGAAACCAAATATTCTCGATAGGGTTTAAATATGGACATCAGTGAAAACCCCTTTTGATTTTTTGCTTGTTTTTCAGGAGTGTGTATATATATATATATATATATATATATATATATATATATATATATACACATATATACACATATATACACACATATGTATAATATTATCAAAGGCATACAAAGGACTGTAATATTCAACATTAGCAGCATTAACAAAAGCACATTTTACCTGAGCACACAACTCCTACATCCTCCTCGTGTCCACATTCATCCTCTTCACACAGCTGAAATCTGCAGTTCCACAGGGACGTCTCGTTCCCCTCACACTCCACCTCATTCAGCCTTATGGGTCCAGTTCCAGGTCCAAACCAGGCTGGTACCAGAGCACTGAGGGCCACTCCACACTGCAGCTGCCTGCACACCACCTGAGCATCCTTAATATCCCACAAGTCATCACACACTGTCCCCCATGAGCCCTTGTGGAAAACCTCCAGCCTTCCTGCACAGTCTCCCCCAGAACCAACCAACCTGATGGCTACATTAAAAGCCAAAACACACAAACACAAATATTAAAACAAACTTACATACAAATTAAATACACAAAATAATTCTAAGACATGAAGAATGCCATTATTTTTGTAATAGTGAGAATTATATGAATGATTGTTGTTGCAATATATCCAGTCAGGACATATTTGCAATTGTTTTAATAGTTATGAGAGCAGAGCTGTTCTCTGGACCTATGTAGGAAATTCCTACACCATTCACACAATTTGGACATAAACACCCTCAAATTAAAGCTGAAAGTTTGCAGCCATAATATTTATTCAGTGTCAACTTTAATATGCATTGGTAAACAGACACAGCAACAATAAATTTGTTGATGTCCAACTATTTTTAGACCAGAATGAGATCCCTTTATTTATTTGTTTGTTTATTTATTTATTTAGCATTCGGAGCTTTAACACTTACTAGAGCAGGTGATTGAGAGCTGTTCTCTGGAGCTGCAGTTGACTGCTTGTGCGCTGCTGCAGTTCCCCAGATGAGCTTCACTCCCAGAACAATTGAAACCCGTCAGACACATGTGACTGTGTTCAGGACTGGATGGAGAGGAGCTGGAGAAGCTGATCACAGAGCCACAGCCCAGCTGTCTGCAGACCACAGAGGCCTCAGACTCACTCCAGGAGTCCAGCAGAACTCTCCTCCAGTCCTGCCTGATGTACACCTCCACCTCCCCCTCACACTCCATCCCTCCAGACAACCGCACTCGCCCCTCATGAAATGCCAGAGAGGAACCTGAAGACGAAATGATCAGTTAACTTTTATTATTAACAATTATTATTTTATTGAGGGTGCCTTAGGCATAAACAGGCAATTCTGACGTGGTGTGTATCTTACTGAGAGCTAGACTACTCTAACATCTTACCACTGCAGATGACTCCAGCATCCTGTTTATGAGAGCATGCCGTTCGACTCCATGATGAAATGGGACATTCTGACAGGTGTGTTTCGTTACCCTGACAATCAAACACATCAGCCCAGATCCGGCCACTCCCCTCCCCAAACCAGTCTGACCCCAACACAGCCACAGCACTCCCACACTTCAGCTGACCACAGAGGACACTGGCAGCTCTCATATCCCAGCTTACATCACACACTGTGCCCCACTCACTGAGGTACTGGATCTCCACTCGACCAGAACAAGAGTCCAAACCACTGATCAACCGAGCCCCTGTGTGTCAACAATTGAAAATTTAGTGAAACATCGTGAAACATATTGCGGGGAATAGAATGGTTGTAAACATATAATCCCTCACCTGCAAACCACTGACAATGTAATACCTGTTAAGCACATTTTAATATTTTATTTTTAATGAGAGCTTAATTATTTATACTGACCAGAACATACAAGTCCCACATGGTTATCATTTTGGCAGTTGTGTTTCAGGGAAGTTGATATGGGACAGAGAGTAATGTCAGATTCATTCCCTTTACAGTGAAGCTCCTCTGACCACACATGACCCTCTTCTCTGCCAAAAGCAACTGCTCCCACTACCTCCAAAGGAAGGCCACAGCCCAGCTCTCGACACACAACCTCTGCATCCTGCTGGTCAAAATCAGCATCACACACTGTGGACCAGGTCACTCCATGAAGCACCTCCACTCTCCCAGAGCACAGGTGAGGACCACCAGTAAGTCTGGCTTTTCTATGATCTGTGAGTATTTGAATTACATTAGAACTGGACACAGCATACAGAACATAGTAGATGTACAGATATTAAACACTTGTTAAAAGGTGATAATAGTGTATAACAGCATATCTTAACATTGTTCAGGGACTATAAGCCTGCTTGCAAGATTTGTACCTCCTCCACTTTTTTATGTACTTTGCTTATTTTATTAGAGAGAAGCATCATTCATGTTTGTCTGGCTATAAGATGAGCTGGATCTTAGAAAAAAGTCAGCTCTCTAAGATTGATAGAGATGGAACTTTACCTAGTAGTTGTCTTGATATTCTAACTCATAAAACAACCAGACTATAAATACATGATGCTATCGACTCAAATCCCTTTCCAAAACTTTGTTTTAGTTTATGGTCAGAAGAACATGTAGACACACCCTGGTGCTGCTGATTCTTCAACCTGACAGGTTTTCCATCAAAGCGATCAGTGTCATCTGGGTATCATTTTACATGTTATAATTTGGAATGTTTTGGCCACAACACTATCAATATAAAACTGTTTTTTTTTTAATTTCAGTTTTATCAAAGATAAAACCTGTACCTGAATGAAAAGTCCAAAATTAAACCACATTTAGGAGTGACTTTAGAGTTGAAGTTAGTAAATATAAATTATGAACCATTGTTTCAAGCTCTTTTAATGACAGTAATGCTTGTAAGGAGTGATATCTGCTTACTTGAGCAATTGACTCCAACATCTTGATCATGAGAAGTGCAGTAGTAACTATAATATGGATTAAAATCACAGCTAATCAGCTTAGACTCTGATCCAGCACACTGCACTATTCCCATCAACATTTGTCCTGATCCTGGACCAAAGTTAGGAATGCCGACAGCCTCTCCACAGTCCAGCTCTCTACACACCACTGCAGCATCTGTCATATCCCACTGATTATAATGATCACACACTGTTCCCCACTGTCGATTACGATAAACCTCCACTCTCCCAGCACAGCGACTGCCCCCGTCCACCAACCTCACACTCACTGTACAGAGAGAAAGAGAGTTTATAGTTTAGAATTAAAATTACATACATTTCTATCAGTAAAAATTATTTGTAATTTTATTTTTTAATAATGGTAACTCTTTAGTAATTTTATTTCAAAGTAAGAAAAAAAAACAAAAAATACAGAAGAAAAATTATAAATGTTAGATCATTTGCAGTCGAACAATTACATTCATCAAACAGACAAAAAGATTATTTCCATAAAAGCAAAGCTTCCCTTAAAAACCTTTCAGTTGATGTTTTTTTTTAGAGAATTATTTTATTATTATTTATTTTTTTTGCACATGAGGCACGTGAGTGTGAAAAACTTTTTTAAACAACCTTCAGTAAAGGTTCTCAGAAGAACCATAAATTGTTATAAAGCCTTTCTATGATGTGAAATTTCTTTAAACCTTTGAAAAGTTGTTCACACTCATCTATTTCTTTTTTAAACATGGTTCTTTAAGGAAATAAAAGTGACTCTTCCATAGTATTGTATATCCTTATTCATATCCCTAGTGTCACCTTTATTTTTAAGTGCGTAACAAATGATCTTAGCAACTAAAATATAACATGACACTCGAATCTCGAACACGCTAAATATTTCATATGTGTAAATTCATTTGAAGTTATTGTCTTAATACTTACCGGCTGTGGTGAGTGTGACCGTGGAGAACAGAAGAATGAGAACCACACAGCTGTCCATCTCCCTCTGACCCGCACACGGTCCGTTCAACTCAGAAGCAGAACAAGCTTCACCCTCTCTAACCCAGAGAGACTGAAGAATTTGAGAGAGACACAAAAAGAGAGAGACAGACAGAGTGACAGAGAAAGAGAGAGAGAGAGAGAGAGAGAGAGAGAGAGAGAGAGAGAGAGAGCTCCCCACAGCCGCCAATCACACTCACTATGACCTTATTAGAAAGAGGAGAGGAAATCATCAAACATTTTCAGTGACAAATCAGAGGAGGCGTTTTTTTCTTTCTCCATATTTATCAAAAGACCATCAATGCTGATGAACAGAACTCCACCTCCTTCTCTAGAGGAGTGTGTGTGAGGAGAGACGCTCGCAGCAGTGTGGTGAGAAACACCCCAACATACAGGAGACTGACTTCAGAGAGAGGAAACACTCCAGTGTAATACAGCTTTAATGTTGCACCTGCAGCTGATCCACACACTGATAACCATCACACACACACACACACAGTTCTACAGTATCAGCTTAGTGTGTCTGGGCCTTACATTTTCTTTGTGTTGTTTAAATAAAAATGTTGCCTCTTCCACCTGCATTGGTCTCACTGTGGCCTTGCTTGATTCCTGGTCATGGTGACCTGGCCTTTCATATGGTCAATGCCACATTGGTGGAGATTGTTGGCTGCCTGACTGGGAGCTGAGCAAAGTTAGACCCATCCTTCAGTTACTAGTGTGGCTAGACATTAGCTAGATTTGTTTTTTTTTTATGTAAGTTGTATATTTACTGTCAAGTGGCAAGTAAAGAAAAATTACAAAGAAAAAGAAATGGAAGCACTACTTTAATAGATTTTATGGACCAGTGTCTACGTCTGGCGAACGTGAGCCCATGAAGTGAGAAGACAGTAGAAGTCATGCAGGATTAATTCCTTTTGGGATCTGGTCATGGAGGAGTGGTAACAGGTATAGACTCCCATTCCCAGTGAAGTGGCCACCATTACCAACTATTCCAGTTTCTTGCTAAAGTGGCAAAATAGAGGCATAAAACAACATTTATAATCTATAGAGACATGATAATGTCTGTTAAACTACACTGTCCTCTTAATACAAAAAAGTTCAGAAAAATGTCCTCATAAACACCCATAAAACACACACACACACACACACACACACACACACACACTCACACACACACACACATACACATACACACACCCTAATGAGGACACATGGACACATTTCTAAAGGGTCTCCAGACAAAGCTCCATGTTTTTAGGGGCCAAGGTTGGTCAATAAGTTTCTTATATTACTTGGACAATCCATTGTCAAAGTAAATGGCCTACGATGGCCTACTGAAAAGGTAGTGTAAAGCCAACTATACGACTTTTGACACCCAACCTCAGCATGGTCAATCACCTCACAGTTTGGCATGCCTGCATTGGGGTTCCTATGGGTCTTGGTTGGTTAATGGGCCTTTTAAATGTTATTTGGGCCTTCTTACTATTGTACATGCAAGTTTTGACCCCTAAGCTTGCCATACTCGGTCACCTTACATCCTATTTTGCTTTGGTTAATAGGCCTATATCACTTGGGCCTTTCACTTGTAAAGTGTTTGGCCTACGATGGCTTATTGAAAACCAACTGTGCAAACTTTGGCCCCCAAACATGGCAAACTTGCTCCACAGTCCAGTTTGCACATTCACAGTTTTGGGCACTTAGTGGTTGGTTTTTGGCCCCAGTTGGTTAATAGGCCTCATAAATATTAATTGGACCATCCCTTATCGTATGTCAGATATGGCTTCCGAAGGCTGAAAATGTCATTTGAGGACAGTCATGCGACCTTTGACACCCAACCTTGGCACACGCGGTTGTCTCACTGCCTAGTTTGAGCTTACCAGAAGTGGGGCCCCTGGGAGTCATGGTTGGTTAATAGGTCTATTAGGTATTACTTGGGTCTCCCACTATTAAAGTTTATAGCCTACGATGGCTTACTGAAAAGGTAATATAAAGCCAACATATGACCTTTGACCCCTTAACCAAGCACATACACATGTCATACAGCCTAGTTTGTGCATTTCAACTTTGGGGCTCCTAGGGGCCAAGGATGGTTAATAGGCCTCTTAGATATTACTTGGGCAGCCCCTTGACTCCTAAGCTCTGCAGACTTAGTCACCTCATAGCCCATTTTTAATAGGCCTGTGGAACATTCATTGAGCTTTCTCCTGTCCAAGTGTATGACCTACCTCAGCTTATTGAAAATGTCATATAGAGTCAAGCATGCACCTCTAATCCCCAAACTTGGCAGACTATGTTGCCTCATGGCCTAGTTTGTGCATGTCCAGTTTGGGGTCCCTAGGGGGCACCTTTGGTTAATAGGCTTTTTTCGAAGGGTTTGGCCTACAATAACTTCGTTGTAAATGGGTCATAAATGCCAACATTGCAACCTTTGATCCCCAAACTTGGTAGACTCTGTTGCCTCATGGCCTCATTTGGATTTACCCTGTTTGGTGTGCACAGGGGCCATGAACGGTCAATAGGCCTCTTAAATATTACTTCCACTGTCAAAGTGAATGGCCTTTAATTACTTACACCTCACACACACACACACACACACACACACACACACACACACACACACAAAAACCTCTCTCTCTTTTTTTCTCTCTCTCTCTTTTACACACACACACAATGATAAACTACTTATACACACACGCACACACCCAGACACACACACAAAGATAAAGTACTCTCTCTTGCTCTCTCTCTCTCTCACATACACACACACACACACACACACACACACACACGCACACACACCCACACACACACACACACACACACACACACACACACAAAGATACCACCCCCCCCCCTTCTCTTTTTCTCACAGATACAGAGAAATGTGTAGTGTAAAGCACACTGCCACTGGACTCTGGAGCAGTGGAAATGTATCCTGTGGAGTGATGAATCACACTTCTCTATCTGTCAGTCTGATGGACGAGTCTGGGTTTGGCAAATGCCAGGAGAACATTATCTGCCTGACTGCATTGTGTCAACTGTAGATTTGGTGGAGGAGGGATAATGCTATGGGGTTGTTTTTCAGGGGTTGGCCTAGACTCCTTAGTTCCATTGAAGGGAAATCTTAATGCTTCAGCAGACCAAGACATTTTGGACAATTGGATGCTTCCAACTTTGCGGGAACAGTTTGGGTAAGATCCTTTTCTGTTCCAGCATGACTGCCCCAGTGCATAAAGCAAGGTCCATAAAGACATGGTTGGGTGAGTTTGGAGTGGAAGAACTAACACTATTACTGCAACTAAAGCTAACCTGTTAAGCTTTGGACAGAAAAAAACTAGCAGCATAGATAGAGGAAGAAAATTCAAATTCAGGTGACGGACATTCATAAATTATTCTCAAAGAGAGATTTTTCAGCATGAGCAAACCAGTGTTGTTAATATTGTTAACCTTCATACTCAGTTCAAGAAAGCCGAGTCTGACTTCATGCTAGCTATCTAGCTAATGTTGTTTATTAAGTAGCGATGATGTGAAGATGATGAAGGAGACTCCGCTGACACCGCCTTACTTGTATAAGATGTTTATTACAAAATAAAACAGTATCATATCAAGCACTGTAAAGTACCTGAGAGAGGATCCGTGCCAATTCTAAAGTGTCCCCTCCAGACCAATATAACCAACGGCTTATATAGTCAGCTTGTTTTCGAAAAAGGGAACACAACATATGGTCCTTTTTAAAATTATCTCATCTATTTGGAACTAAGAGAAGAAGGGAGAAAGTGAGAGACTCACTCCCTATGGGGCCTTTGGACCAGGGGTCCCCCTTAACTTAAACATTCCAAAACCTGCAAAAACAGAACACATGGAACTCCTAAATACTACAATATTAACTTGTACTAATAGTTAAGTATGTTTTTGCCTTCTTTTATTAAGCCACCATTTTAAATATACCTCACTAACAAACTTAGCTTACTTAGAGCTGGGCAGCTTAAACGCAGTGCTAGCAAAACGAATCACAGCACAACTGGTTTAGAGTTTTATCGGCACGATAAACAGCTGGGTAGACAGTCAGTACAGAGTTACTTTACATGTACTTCATTTTAAGATAGCTTACCATTAAAGTCTTTTGTCTTCAGTGGTCTGTGCTGTATGGAGCCCCGGGGGGATGGAGGTAGAATTAATTCAAGTGAACGTTTTGCAGTTCGTACGCATGTTTTCTTTTATTAGTGGTCACGATTCCTTATATCATTCCCTCATTTTCTTTTAAACGTGCACACGTTTTCTTTACTTTGTGGGTACTGATAAGATAATAGACAGAGATGCTCATCAGGTCTGATTTTGATTTGGGGTGTTTATTAAAAGTGTTTCCCCTCAGTGTATTTATACCCCTGAGTTTGCTCAGTCCCTTTGTCTTGCACTGTCAATGTCACTGTGACCCCTTTGTTTGTTATTCTCTCTAATTCTTTTCAGTCTTGTTTCTGTTTGTGAGTTGTTTAGTTTGTCCTCCTTGTGTTTGATTTTGTTTTGCTTTTCCTCTGTTTTGTCTCAACATGGACTTGCTTTACTTACGTCTACTAATGAGTTTCTAGACTCTGTAAAATCAGATTTAAATAAAAGCACTTTGCACTTGTATCCAGCCTTAACACCCCCATCATTACAACTACCTTGAATAACAACACATTTCAAGGAATTCTCTTTGATTCTCTTTGATGTAAGTACCCTGACATTGTATTGATGCGACATGGTGTTTTTTCCACTGTTAGAACTACATTTGACATAAAAATTACATCATACAATTAACAAATTAGCACAAGGAAGAATTTTTCAGCTGTTTTGAAGTGTACTTATATTTTATATTTACACATTCAATATGATCCAGCATCACATTTGTCAATAATATTTATCACTAATAATGCTCATACAAAATATTTATTTTCAAGCACTGAATTTCACTGAAGTATAGATTTAACATATATTGTTTAGAAATACTTTAAGTACTGTTTCAGCATAAAATAAGCACAGTTCTTTGTAAGCATAGTTTGATGAAGCACTTTTTCAACACAGAATTTGTCTATTTCAAGTAAACTTCATTAATGCACACAGTTAACACAAAATTATTTTTTGTGAACATATAGTTTAAGCAAAAATGCACCGCTTATTGTACTTATTGTAAGTACTTAATACTTTGATGAAGCACTAAAATTAACAACATACTTTTTAAGCATACTTCATACTAACACAGCAGTAACGTATGTTCCTAGGAAACACGTTGCAAACATATAGTTTCATTCTAAAATAAATACAGCAGATATTTTTATAAAGTATATTAGTGCCAAGTTAGCCCACCTAAGTTAAGTATACTTTTTCAAAGTATACTAAAATAGATATTCAGTTCAGTAAAAGGATAAGTATCAAGTAAAAAATATACTTGGAGCATCCTGTACATAGTGTAGGTAGCCTAATATCATATTAAAGTATCACTTTTTCACAAGGGGTGACGTTGCTGGTTAAGTGTGTGTGGGTGTATGGTATTGCTGCTTAGATGTGTGAGAGTGTGTGTGTGTGTGTGTGTGTGTGTGTGTGTGTTACAGCTGGTTAGATGTGCAATGAGGGTGTGTGTGTGGGAGAGCTAGTTAGGTGTGGATGAAGGGGTGTGTGGTAGAGCTAGTGAGGTGTGGGTGAAGGGGTGTGTGGTATTGCTGGTTAGATGTGGTTCTTTCTGGTTTGTGTGGAGATCAGTAGAATGAGTTCAGGAGTCTCTCCCTGAAGAGCTTCACCAGCACCTTATTAGCTCTGTTCTGGACACTGTTCTGGGTCCTGCAACATCTTAAATTCTGTGCTACTGAAACAGAGCAACTGCAGGTGATTTTAGGGCCTCGAGCACATGGTAGGAGTTCAATATCAGAGGTGGAGAGAATAGAGTCTAGAGAATAGAGTGAATCTCTCAGAGTACTGAATGAAGGGAACAGAACTGCCACCAAAATTTTTGAAGGGTTTTGGATGTAACAAGATTACTTAAATGAGTGAAGCATATATTATTTTCAATATATTTTTCTATTTCTTCGTTTGTGAGATTTGATGAGGTAAAAACAGATATAAAGTGCAGAGATTGGGGCCAACAGGACTCGGATTAGAGCAGGGCAAGTTCTGATTGTCAGGGCTCTGGTTTGTCTCTCTGATCCACTCTCAAGAGCTTCTAATTCACCCCGTCCCATCACTGATTCTACACACAATACTGTATTGCCTATATTACATCACAGTGTGCTCTGTTTTTATCAGATTCAAAATGACACCACATGGGTGGCAGCTTGTTGCAGCAGCTCCAGCTCACTTTGAGCTTTTTTCTTACTTTCTGCAGTTTTCTCATTTTTGTTTTTTTTTTATTTTATTTTTTTTTTATTTTTTGAGTATTTATACTTTTGATTGTTTGCGAAGGTTTTTTTCACTATGGACACCAAACTTGTAGAGTTTGTGCTGGTCCTCACTCTTCTTTTTTCTCTGTTTACGTCTATGTCTGGAGATCCCGTACGGAGCCCTCAGTCGTCATGGGAAATGACGTCCAAAAAGATAGACGAGCTGACCGTGCTGATCCAACATCAGAGGGAGTACTGCGAGTGTAGCGTCATGCTGTTTACTGAGTCATGGCTAACTCCGAACTAACTTCCAGCTCATACGGGTGGACAGGACATCGAAGAATGGTAAGAGGAAAGGAGGGGGGCTGGCAGTATTTGTGAATGATAGATGGTGTAACTCTAGGCACATCACTATTAAGGAGCAAATCTGCTTTAAGGACATTGAACTGTTAGCCATTAGCATGAGGCCATTCTACCTACCAAGTGAATTCTCCCGCGTTATTGCAACAGCTGCGTATGTTCCCCTCTCCGCTAATGCTGATGCTGTCTGTAATGACCTGCACACAGCTGTGAGCAGACTGCAGACACAGCACCCATGGGCCCTTATTCTGATCTTATTCTGCATATAACTCATCACCCCTCCCTCCCCTTGGAAGATCAGATCATAACCTTCTGCCTGTGTACACATCAGTTGTACATAGGGAGCCAGCTGTCACCTGTAGAGTAAAGAAATGGTCTGAGGAGACTGAAGAGGTTTTGAAAGACTGTTTTGACACAGCTGTGTGGGAGGAACTGTGTGATCCTTATGAGGAGGACATTGACAGTCTCACACACTGCATAACAGACTACATAAATTTTTGTGTGGAAAACAGTGTACCCACCAAGACTGTTCGGTGTTTCTCCAACAATAAACCATGGATCAACCCTGATATAAAGGTTCTTCTGAAGGGGAAAAAGAGGGCCTTAAAATCAGGAGACAAGGGGGAACTGAGACCTGTGCAGATGAAACTGAGAAGGAAAATCAGAGAGGAAAAAGGACGAAGATGAAAGAACAGCTGCAGAATAACAATGCTGGTGGGGTCTGGAAAAGCCTAAAAACAATCTCCGGACACAAAAAACCCGACCCCCAGGCTGTAGGGGACCAAAAGTGAGTAAACGATCTTAATCTGTTTTTCAATAGATTTGATCACTCACCTCCCCCTACACAGTTACCCCTGCTGCAACCCCACTCTCCTGGACTCTTAGGGCACTGCCCTGCCCCCTTTCCCACAATTGCCCCCCTCTTCACAACTCTCACCTCACAGCCACCTATCACTGGTTTCCCTGTTGTCAGCTCAACCCCCCTACCTGCACACCCCAGCACCCAGCCCCCCTGCTCCAATATGTGCCTTACAACAGCCCAGGTGATGGAAGAGTTCAGAAAGATCAAAGTGAGGAAAGCTGCAGGTCTGGATGGCATCAGCGCCAGGCTCCTTAAGTCCTGTGCAGATCAGCTGTGTGGGATAGTTGGACAGATGTTCAACCTGAGCCTGAAGCTCAGGAGGGTACCACAACTGTCGAAAACAACTTGTGTGGTACCAGTGCCAAAGAAGCGACAACCGAAGGACCTCAGCAGCTACAGGTCGGTGGCACTGACGTCGCACCTGATGAAGACACTACAGAGGCTGATCCTTGTGCATCTCTATCCTCTAGTGAACTCATCTATGGACCCACTCCAGTTTGCCCATCAACCTGGCATTAGAGTGGATGATGCGGTCATCGACCTCCTACACAGAGCTCTTTCTCACCTGGAGAAGCCTGGGAGCACTGTGTAGACCATACAGTCTAGGCTCCTGAGGGACAAGCTGGAGAACACAGAGGTGGACCACCACCTATCAAATTGAATTCTGGACTATCTCACCAACCGACCGCAGTATGTGAGGGTATGGGACTGTGTGTCTGACATGGTGTTCAGCAGCACAGGGGCCCCACAGGGAACAGTCCCGGCACTGTTCCTCTTCACCCTGTACACTGCAGACTTCATGTACAGCTCACCAAACTGCCATCTACAGAAGTTCTCTGACGACTGATTGTCAGCCCCATTACAGATTAGGATGACAGAGAGTACAGAAAACTGACCCTGGACTTTGTGGACTGGTGTCTGAGGAATCACCTGCTGATCAATGCAGGGAAGACCAAAGAGATGGTGTGGATTTTCACAGATGCAGTCACCTCCCTCCACCAGTGAACATCCAGGGAATGGACATTGAGAGAGTGGACTCTTGTAAGTACCTGGGTTTTCACCTCAACAATAGACTGGACTCATCAGAAAACACTAGTGCACTTTATAGGCAAGGCCAGAGCAGACTCTACCTGCTTAGGAGACTGAGGTTGTTTGGAGTGCAGGGGGCACTCCTGAGGACCTTCTTCAACACCGTTGTGGCATCAGCCATCTTCTATGGAGTGGTCTGCTGTGGTAGCAGCATCTCAACTGCAGACAGGAAGAGACTTGACAGACTCATTGAGAGGGCCACCTCTGTCCTGGGAAGCCTCCTTGGCAGACTCATTGAGAGGGCCACCTCTGTCCTGGGAAGCCTTCTAGACCCAGTGCAGGTGGTGGGAGACAGGAAGAAGTTAGCGAGACTAGCATCCATGCTGGAGAACAGCTCCCACCCCATGCATGAGACTCTAGCAGCACTGGGGAGCTCCTTCAGTGACAGTCTGCTTCACCCCATGTGTGAGAAGGAGTGCTATTGCAGGTCCTTCCTTCCTGCTGCTGTTAGGATGTACAGCCAGCACTTAATCTTAATCTGTTTTTAGAACCCTCCCCCTGACCCCCTATTAGACCTCACACACCTACAGCACATAAACTGTGAATTCATCATCATTTCCTATGTGCAATATAATCAGTACTCCATGTACAATATTTTTAAAATATCTCTACAGTGTAAAGATGTTTTGCCTTTCTATTTATAATGTTTATATTGTTAACTCCTCACCATCTCATGTGTAATATAAATCAGTACCTCCTGTGCAGTACTCCATGTGAAATATCCTTACAGTGTAAATACTTTTGCTTTGCTTATATTTATATGGTATTTTTACCGGCGGCACGGAGGCACAGTGGGTAGAGCTGTTGTCTCACAGCAAGATGGAACTCGGTTCGATTCCCCAGCCGGGCGACCAGGGTCCTTTCTGTGTGGAGTTTGCATGTTCTCCTCGTATCTGCGTGGGTTTTCTCCGGGTACTCCGGTTTCCTCCCACAGTCCAAAGACATGCAGTCAGGCCAACTGGACATGCTAAATTGCCCTTAGGTGTGAGTGTGGGTGTGAATGTATATGTCTGTCTGTCTGCCCTGTGATGGACTGGTAAAATCTTATCTTATTTATTTTATTTTATCTTATGCAGTTATGATTTTCTCACACTGTGCTTTCTGTTTTGTGCAATAATTGAAGAGAAAGTGTGGAAAGTGAAAGATTTTTTTTTTTAAATTCTATAAAAGTGACAAACAAGTATTTCTCTTTATATTCTAAATCAAAGTGAGCGTTTGATTTAGTGTGTGTGTGTGTGTGTGTGTGTGTGTGTGTGTGTGTGTGTGTGAGATGGCTATCAGTGTGTGGATCAGCTCTCTGCAGGTGCAGCATTAATTCTGTATTGCACTGGAGAGTTTCCTCTCTGTAAAGTCAGTCTCCTGTATGGTGGTCATTTTCTCACCACACTGCTGTGAGAGTCTCCTCTATGTTAACATTGTAATGGTGGGATTTCTATTAGTGGACTCAACAATAGAGCAAGCGCTCTCCATGGTGCTGAATCCCTAAAGAAAAATTAGCAACTACAAGGTGGAAAGGCCTGGCTAGAGGTGCATGCCAAGATATATATGAGGTCTCCTTTTAAAGTTTGTGCCACCCCAGAGAAGTAAGTGACCCCTCACACCAGTGCCTGCTGGTTCTGTTCTTTCTCACTCTCTCTGTCCATCTCACAAACAAGGGATTATCGACTGATCTGGAGAGCCTCAGCTTTTACCTTTGCGCACTGAGACACAGAGAAAATAGAAAATAAACCCCACCTTACCTGGAGCAAAAAATTTTATTCATTCATTTAAAGAACTTAAACAATTAAAATGATTATAATGGTAAAAAAAAAAAAGGAAAGAAAAAAAAATAGCAAAATGGCAAAATGAAATGAACACTTCTGAAAACAACTGCTCTAGCTTTTGGCCTGAGAGTTCTGTGTCCTCCCTCTGTCTGCACTTGTACTGATATTCTACTATCTATCTTAATGAGTACAAAATTTCAAAGTCTAAACTTTAATCTCAAAGCCCTCTTTAGCCTCAGAAAGACAATATTTATACTCTACATTACATCAGTATAATGATACTTCATCAAATACAATATGTATCATAATTTCCATGATCTATTTTCAGTTCTTTTTTAGTTTCAGTGTTGTCCCCTAAAATATTCTGTTCTACAGAACAAACATTTCTGAGACAACCAGAGTATCCTGAGGTCCACCGCTGGTCCAGATATAGAGAGGAGAGGAATCATCTCTCAGACCACAGCAGGAGATTCAGTACATTACAGTACACTTAAATCACAAAAAGCTCAATATACAGAAATAAACTTGCAGTTGTGATTAAGGCTGTGTGGATACAAGCTCACATAACAATAAACAATCATTATAGACTTGCAAATAATATTACAGAGAAAAAATAAGCACCCTTTTTTACATAGCAGTGCAGTATTAGACAATTAATCTGTTTTATATATCATTTGTGAACATTTATAATGTTCTAGCCAATTTTTGGATGACAACAGTACAACTGTCTCTAACACAGCAGAGGGTTAAAAGAGTTATTTTTACAGTGAAACCACTTCAAATACTAAAATTTCAAATTTCATTTTAAGTCTGTGCGGCTTTTATTACTTATTTATTTTTACTCTTTTAAAAGTTTTAAATGAGAATGAAAAGCCAATTAATTTAACACTTCTAACCCAAACCATCCGCACACTTAAACTTTAACTAAATATTTTGGTAGAGAATGGATCATTTCTCCAAATGGCTCTCTGTTAAAACCGATGTGCTAATTAGCAAAACAGTTTTTGCTTTATCAATACTTTAACCCATTTCATGTCAGGACACAAGAACACAGCACAGCTCTGATAAAAACTATAACCGCCTGTGTTAAGTGTGATAACACACTGATAGCATGAAAAATAACATGAAATGTGTTCTTGTTTCCTGCACACACAATTAAATAACACACTACGTGTTTTAACGCATCTACGTGGTGAGTGTAGCTCACTAAGGCTGAAAGATTTTAAAGAAAGTCCTGAAAGTGAAATGACATTTTGTGATATTTGGTTTGGTAAACTTTGGGGGGGGGGTGTTTTACCTCTAGGGCTGTTTAATACCACCATATTCCATTTGAGATGTTTAGGACCTGAAATAGACAATGTTTTTGTGATGTTTGGAACTGTGATCTGTAATAAAATCATTTGTTGTGTTTGAAGAGGTTTGGATGTAAGACTGTTTGGCTGTGGTCTCTCAGTCACATGATTCATCTCTGTCTGAGGCTCCTCCTCCACGTCATCATAATCTGTAAAATGAGTACATTTAGCTCAAAAAACACATCTTTTTTAACCCTTTACCACAGTTGCAAAAAAAAATAAATATTGTAAATGTCAATATGATTTAAACCTGAATTCAAATTTGGTTTAAATGTTTACATTTAAATGTTTATAAAAGTAAGTTTATTAAAGAGATTTATTTATTTATTTATTTATTTTTACTTTTTAGGTCATTGTGGCAGTTGAACATGAGTATATATCAAGAAAAGCTGCAGTGGAGAGGTGTGGATTGCAAGCAGGATTTTTCAGAGGATGTATTCAATATTTATCTGATTAACCAAATTTATGCTCAGATGTTTCATGTGTGAAAGATGCTACTGTGAATACTGATTGACATTAACTTCAAAGAGATTCTGCTGAGTGGAAGTGCAAAGTCTATAAAGTGGTTAAAATAATGTGTTGCTATAAAAAACAAGGTATCACTCATTACTTATTTTATTTTTTATCTTAAACATCTTTATGATCTTCGACTCATCATGTTTAGAACACAGATAGATGTGGAGAGGATTGGTTACTTCTAGTTTGGCCAAAATTGTGTTGCACTAATGATATTTAGTACACCTATCAGAATTATGAGGACACAGTTTATTTAACAGATGCCATAGATAATGTAAACATGCTTTCGTGCTTCCTGTGCCCTTGATTAAAATCATTTACTCCACCCTCCATATTCATGTAAATCTGCAATGTAGTGACGTACACAACAAGATCAACCACTTACCTTTTACCCCTCCTACATTCTGTCCAGCAGTGATCATATCATCATAGTTCTCTGATGTCCTTTATACAAACATTGCGAGTTAAATTATAACTGTGAGCAACAAATCTGACATTCTTTCTGTGTTGAAGCTTCATCTTAAAATTATATTTCTATAACATGTCATAATATTGGAGTTTGGTCAAATGGCCCCAGCATTATCATAGTTATCTGTCATGTCTTATGTCAAAAGGTATAGAAATAAATGCCAAATGAAATCAGCTTCAGAATCATCAGTAGTGTTGTAGGACTCAAGTGCCATCTTAAGAGGTCTCAATCTTGACTTCATTTGGACTCGATTTTGTCTCAGTTTTGGGAAAATGTGGACTCAGGAATTATTCTCGAGACCAGACAAGTGTGATGCCACCAACTGAGGTAATTGGAAACTGATATTTTTTGGATTATATTTACTTGAATGTAGCTGGTGTTTTACAGAAGAAGAGACAGAGATGAACCTCAACATGATTGCTTCCAAAGCTTACAATACAAAGGTTGACTAGGACTATAATATAGTTATAATTAATAATATTTAATTTATTTTATATTTAATATTTAATTAATGCCATATTTTACAAAATATATTTCAAGTTATCATATAATTTATTAATATACAGCATGCATAATAAATGATAAGGAAAAAACAAATTTCATTTATTGGTCCTTTATTCTTTTTATTTTTATAGCATGAACAATTCTGGGTGACATTTTATTTTGAGTGGTCCTTTGTAGATGATTAATAAACACTTAACAGAGTATCAGTAACACATCAACAACATGTCAGTAAAGTAGCAGCATTGCATAAGTAAGTTGATGTATTATTGATATATTAGAGTAGACTTAATATGGCACTTCCATTAAGCAAAGCTTAACCTTACCCAACCTTACCCGAAACCTAATCCTAAACCTGGCCCTAATCCTAACCCTAACCTTAATCTCAACCCTCACTTTGGCCCTAATCCTATTCCTAATCTTAACCTCGATACGAAACCTAATCTTATCTCTCATCCTGGCCCTGATGTTGTTAGGTTTAAGACAAATTAGCAAAAATACAAGAAATCAAGTGAGGGGTAAACATTTTTCACAGCTCTGCATATTGCTGATGTGTTGTTGATGTGTTACTAGGAGTCTGTTGAGTGTTTTTTCAGCTAGAGGACCAATCAAAATAAAACGTCATCAAATTCTGGTCTTGGTTTTAACTTGATGTTTCCAGGACTCAGTTTTGACTCAGACTCGCCTTTAGTGATTTTTGACTACAACACTAACTGTCGGTGTTAGAGATTACAGTAAGAATTTACAGTATCGTTACATCACAAGTCATACCTGTTACAACAGCTGCGCTCTGATCAGCAGTTGTGCTATCATCATAATTCTCTGCTGTATCCTCTACACCAAAACACAGAGATACGTTAGACAGTTGTCTGCTACAAATGTATTTCAAGTGTTTCAGGTATAATGACTGATCACTGAACATTTACTGTAGATTAATTTTTATTTGTCAAATATGAGCATTTTGCATGAACCAGAATACCAACTTGCAAGTTCTTCTGGACCGCAGCATTAAGGGTCAGTAAAGTTCCATAAATTATTCAAAACGTAATTACAATTACTGACTGTTTCATTATTCTATTTTCATAGCATTTGTTAGGACATTTAATGTCTGCTTAATATCTGCTCCTTTCTAAACTGAAACCCCAAAACAGAAACACACCTGCTACACTCTCAGAGATCTGTCCAGCAGTGATGACATCATCATAGACCTTATTTGCTGATTCACCTAAATAAAATAAAAGCAGACTGACTTTACAAACAGTGCATTAATTTGTTTTACATTGTGGTTTAATATAAAGACAAAATCAGATTCATTAATAAAGGAACCCACTTATCAGACCACTGGTGGTGATATTGTCATAATATTCTGATTTTACTCCAGTCAGAGACTTTGCTGGAAAAAGAGCAACATTTATTACATTTTATTACATTAAAATTACAATTACAAAAGAAATTACCTATTCAGGAAAACTTTCAGAACCGTAAAATCTAGTCTTGTGTGGCCTACAACGTATAAGATTTTGTAATCACGTTTGACCTAAAAATGAATCAGATCTTTAATCAGAGAAACCAGACTCACTGTAACACAGAATTTCACTCTGAAACAGCACATAGCTACAAATGCTGCTTGAAAATCACATAAAGCACAACCTGACTCATGATCCACTAAACAGGGTTTTTTTTCCTCCTCTAGCATTGAGGATCTTATGCTTCATAGCAGGACAGTAAGATAACATACAGAAAGTTAGATAGTATACTGTAGCGTCCTGCAATAGGCTCGTTCGGCCATAGACGCGTGGAAGGCATAGCCATACAGAGCGGCAACATGCAGGGCACTACGGGAGTAAAGCGTTAAGGCTTAAAGATGCGTACATGTGTTGCTTGTGCTGTTTTGTGCTGGACTGTAGGGTAGTTTGCGTAGTGTTACTGTCCACTATTAGGGTGAGCCGTATGGCTAGAAGTGGCCTGCTACCTCGGCCATTTCAGCCTGCACTGAGTGGCGGTTCTCCATTGCTGCTGTGTTCAATAAAAGAGCACTTGCTGAAAGTGCTATGTTTCCCATGTCTTTTGGTTCCACATTGGTGTCAGAAAAGAGACTCCTTAGAGGTCTGGAGGAGAATGGCACTTCTACAAACTCAAAGGTGAAATGGTGGAGAGGATCCGAGGCTGGCCAAGGACAGAGAGGAAGAAGCAGCATGGCTAGGATGGGCAGAGAAGACAGCGGAGGCTGCGCGACGAGGCTCATCAGTGGAGCCCAGTTGGAGGAAAATGAAAGGGACAGCAGCCAGTTGCAAGGACCTGCCAGAGGGGCAGCATGGTGGTCTGGTGGAGTTTCTGGTGGTGTGTTTGGTCAAGGGTGAGTGTTGAAGCTTCAACATACACAAGCAACAGCCTTGCTGGTGTTTGTGGCATGGTCGGCAGTAGAGGAAGCAGAGAGTGGATGAAGGAGAGCCACTGCTGTTGCTGCTTCAGTAGTGCAAAGAGTGACACCGCAAGCTGTAAGGAGTTCCACCAAGCTGGGGAGGAGGATGCAGTGCTTAGTGTCTCTGGTCCAGTGCCCCAGGGAAGAGGATGCAGCCCAGAAGAAGGACTGATCATGGCTGAGAGCACATGCCCCGTGGTATGTGTGTTTACCGGTACAATGGACATTCTGTTACCCCTGCTGCAGAGAAACTGCGGGGGGTACAGCGTGCTCCCGCACACCCCTGGGACTCTGCTTGGACTTTGTGAGGTCATCCGGGTGGCTCTTAAGAAAAGAAGGTGCTGCATAGCATCCTGCTACAGGCTCATTCAGCTCGGTCATTCGGCTGCATCGTCCTCTTTGCTGTCGTCACAATATTGTCTCTTTTTGCAGCTTCACTTAGTAAGCAGGTAATGTTTGTTTCTCTCACTGATCACGCAAAATTTAGTGAAATCAATGAAAATGATCGCACAGATGCGAGTGAATAACTATATATCTTCAGACAGAATATATTTTAAATGTAAACAAGATTGAAGCTGTAGCCCTGAACTTGAGTAGAAGTATAAATGTACCAGGTCAAAAAAACACTTAAGTATTGAGTAACAGGTAGACCTGCAGTGGAATAGTATCAGCACAGGAACTAGAGTTTGTTAGGCTGAATTCTACTCTTTTTCTTATCCTTTTGGTTTAAAATAAATCAAAGACCCCAATAGTCAGAGGAGTGACCAATCACAAAGCAATAAAGATTCTGTCCCCAAAACACAGACTCCTTTACTCACTAATACATTGTGAGTAGAAGTAAAAAGCATTATCATTTGAATCTCCTCAGAAACATGCAAATCCATCAAAATGTTACTTACATACATGTGACTTAGTAAATGTAATTTGTTACTACCCACCTCTGGTGCCATATTACCAACTTTGGATTTACTCTAGACTTAAGTGTTCTTGAAAGAAAATAAAACTGCCTTATGAAATTAGCTTATTTCTAAATGGTAAATATTTGTCAGCGGAATGGAATTTAACACACACATGTTCTGGTCCTCTTACCTGAGAGAAGCTCCTCATCCACATTCTCATATCCTGAATGCTGTTCTTCAGAGAGGATACTTCCTGTTAGAGGAGAGCAGAACAGTCAGCAAACACCTTCGGAATGCAGAACCACCCACAATCCCCTGAGTGCTGTGGATCATTGTGAATTTGGGTTGGTAACAGGAAATGGACACTCCAAATAAAGTGAAAAACAGCTGAATTCAGCTGAATTTTATTTATGCAGTTAATTAAAATTCTCTTGAAAATTCATTGCTGCTACATGATTGACATGTTGTTGACATAGATTACTCAGTTTTTTTTATTTTTTTGTGCAATGTAGTCTTTTATACAAACAACAATAGATAAAGACTAAATGCTAACTATTAGAGTGCATGTATGCCACATGTTGGATGCTTTAAATATCTTATTCTCAGGCTTGAATGCAGTGTCTTTTTCACTGACCTATACACAGACTGTGTAAAAACAAATTCATAAATATTGATAAAGCCATCACTGTATCAATATCCATATTGCAAACATTGAAGCAAACAGACCTGTGTGAGGTAGACAAATAAGTAGTCAAAGACAGTTATATTTACACACTGTATATAGTTAATCTCTTTATTTGTGGAGTAGATAAAAAAAAACATTTAAAACAGGCTTTATGCTTTTATATTTAACAAATGCTTTTATACAGAGAAGTTTACAGTGAGTGATAAATGTAATGTAAGGAGTCTCGAGTCTCGAGTCTCATGTTTCTTATTCCTGCCTGAAGTTACACCAAAACTACATCATCCTGTGCTGGTCAAGAGTTTTGTCCATTACACTATCTGACCATTCCTAACCGTAACTCCTCTCACAGAAAATGTCTCACCAGAAAAAGGTGGATTAAGAAAGTCATATATTGTGAAATTCTAGTCTAACAGTAGGCCCTAAATCTGACTAATTATATAATAAAATATTGATTTCAGTGTACTGATAATATTTTTAAACCCTGAAAATCAAAACATTTTAGTGTATTATTTTTTCCCACCTGTACAAGCCACACACACATGTCTAAGGACTGAAGAGAACAAACGTGAAGCAGTGGTGTAGGCAGAAATACATTTTTGGGTAGGCCTGTGAAAAAGGCAGTAGGCCACCTAGATTTTATTTTTTGGGATACATTCCCCAAACGTATCCCACAATATCATAACATCCTGTTATAGTCTATTACTAAAGGCAGTGCTGTCATTATTTTACTTACTAAATCCAGCACATCTGCCCTATAGTGATAATAAAAAAGTACAAATCAAAGAGAATATAGGATTCACATGAGCCTAACCAAAAATGCAACATCCTTCATTACAAAACATGCATTTATCTGCTTACCACAGATACAGCTAAATGAGTTCAGCTGAGATGCACGGAAACAAGGAAAAACAACAGCAAATTTAAAAACCTTTAATTTCCTGCTGATAGCAAATAATATGTCCTGCCAGTAGATTGCACCAATAAATGACGCTCTCAAATACAAATCTCACAAAACACAAAACATACTCGGTCACTCACTCACTCACTCACTTGCTTACTCACTCAGTGTATCTCTAGGAGACTGACTCGGTCACTTACTTGGTCATTTGGTCACTCATTCGCTTACTTGGTTACTGACACAGTCACTTACTCAGTCACTCGTGATCACACATCTCACTCACTCAGTCTATTGGTCATTACTCACTTACTAAGACACTCAGTCATTTGGTCACTCACTTGCTTACTCACTCACACACTCAGTCTGTCTCTAGGAGACTGACTCGGTCACTTACTTAGTCATTTGGTCACTCCTTCATTCTCTTACTTGGTCACTGACACACTCAGTCACTTACTCAGTCACTCGTGATCACACATCTCACTCACTCAGTCTATTGGTCATTACTCACTTACTCAGACACTCAGTCATTTGGTCACTCAATTGCTTACTCACTCACTCACTCACTCCATTTGGTATCTCAATTCATACCTCACCTCTCTTTCTCTCTCTCTCTCTCTCTCTCTCTATCTCTCTCTCTCTCTCTCTCTGACCTGTAGCTCTGTGAATTCTCTGTCTGCACAAAAACAGAAGCTTTCCTGGGATGATAACGTTTGCCTTCAACTGCCTAATAGATGTTCATGAGCAGAATTAGCAACTACATGTAGATCTACTCTAACTGCACATTTCATCTAATATACACTAAACTCGCATACACTGTTGTGTGTGTTCTATTAGGTCTAATGTAAGTATACTTTCATCTAGAACACTCCATATATCACTCACCTCTTTGGGTTGGTTCATTTCTTTTAGTGGTGTATCTGTGGTTAATCTCCTCATAGACTGCCTCAGTCAGAGTCTTATGCCCCCTCTTAGAGAGCACTGTGAGAGAGACAGAGAGAAACATGGAGCCAGTTCAGTAGAAGAGAAGACTGATGACAGATTGAAGGACTAATGATGTTTAGAGAATGTACAGAAAGTGGATTGTAGATGATCTCTGAATCTCTCTACCTCTCCTGAGCACTCTGTTCTGGTAAAACAGCATAACCAGAAACGCTAAGGCCAGGAAGAGCAGCACTCCCAGAACCAGGAGAGACACTGGATAGATAGACGGAACAGCAGGTGGAAGATTTTGTGGAGGAGTGGTTGTTCCGTTCACTGTCTGACCAACTGGATGTAAAAATATAGAAGAGAATTTGTGTAAAGCACTGAAGAATCTATTTAGAAACAATTAGGAAGAAACTATCTAAACAACAAAAATAGTACCTGCAGTGGAGAATGTGATGATTGCTGTTGTGGGAGCAGTAGTAGTCAGTGTGGAAATCTCTGTTAATACAGAAACAAAACACACAAAAATAAACAGTGAACACACACACACACACACACACACACACACACACACACTTTCTAAACTGCGTATCCTTCTAAATCATGAGTAAACAGTGAACAGCCCACAAAATGTAAATATACACTCACCAAAGGGGAAAATTTTAATGGGAAATTTTCATTCTGATTTCTACCCATGTAAAGACTGAGTATGACAAACCAACATTAGACAACATTATTAATGACTAAAATCACCTTGCAGATAAATAATACTATGACAAGATGTTTAGATAGGAGTCAGAACTCCTCTGACCTGCACAGGTGACTTCAGCATCTTGCCAGCGTGAGCAGTCAGTGTGTTTCTTCAGGGAACGAGGACAGTCCCACAGGTGAATCTCATTCCCTCTACACTTCACTCTGTTCAGCCAGATAGGCCCTACACCACCAAAGACAGGACTCCCATCAGCAATCAGCGCCGGCCCACAGCCCAGCTGCCTGCAGACCACCTGAGCGTCACTGATGTCCCACTGATCATCACATATGGACCCCCATGTTTTATTATAATACACCTCCAGCCTCCCAGAGCAGCTTTTCTTTCCTCCTCTCAGCCTGAGAGGGAGGTGATCTATGTCACACATCAGGGTATACTAATGAATCAATTAAGACACTGAATTCAACAATACAGCTACATAGTCCAATAAAATTTTACTATAGAACGTCTTTCATAGGCCATTAATATTTGTGTGGAGAAGTGGAGTAACACACTTTTGTAACTAATGCCGTTAATCAAATATTGACTAGATCTGTTTGCAGTAGAACTTACTTGAGCACCGTTTGTGATGGGAAGATGAAGAGCATTTCAGATGGCTTCGTAACACACGACTGTCCTCTTCTGTGATTATGAGAAGTTAAGAATTGATTCATTCAGTAATCATTGACTTTTATACATACATCTTTTTGCTTATCTGTTTGACCCTATAGAGTATACAGACTGATATTTAGATGTTTCTGCCTGTTTTATCTCACATTCCTCATTCTTTCATGTACTGTTGAAACACAGGGAACAAAGTGACACATTTTACACATCCCACACTTATCAACAAACAAAACCTCTGCCTACCTGAGCAAATAATGCGAGCCACTTCATTGCTATTATCACACTTATTCTGTCCCCAGGGTGAAGATGGACACTGCCACAGAGTTGAGTCGTGTTTCCTACATTTCAGATCATCCAGCCAGTTAGGAGCTGATTCCACTCTTGCTTTGGAAGCCCTCTCACTGCCAGATCTTCCACAGTTCAGCTCTTGACAGATCAAACTTGCTGTTTCTTCATCCATCCCATTTACACACACATTACCCCAGGTTCCATTGTAGAATACTTCCAGATTCCCCAGACAGCCCTCAGTGAGTCTGATCTCTTTAAACTCTGATGGGAGAAAGATGAGTTATACTTAGTCAAATCTTTCGTCTAACTGTTTTTCATTAACCCCTTAAAAGTTCAGAGCCCACCAGTGGGCACAAACCTAAGAATAGCTAAACGAGTTTGCAGTGAAGTCCCTGTAGTTACTTAAAAACAAGACTTAGTATGTGATATGGCAGGGATTTTGTAAGAGGTTAATTCAATATCTAGTGTTCTGTGAACATTTTAATTACATGTAATATACTTATACAAAGGTTTAATTCCTTAATATTGTTTTACCTGAGCACACAACCCCTACAACCTCAGTGTGTCCACATTCATTCTCTCCACACAGCTGAAATCTGCAGTTCCACAGGGACGTCTCGTTACCCCTCACACTCCACCTCATCCAGCCATATGGGTCCAGTTCCAGGTCCAAACCAAGCTGGTACTGGGTCACTGAGGGCCACTCCACACTGCAACTGTCTGCACACCACCTGCGCATCCTTAATATCCCACAAGTCATCACACACTGTCCCCCATGAGCCGCTGTGGAAAACCTCCAGCCTTCCTGCACAGTCTCCCCCAGAACCAACCAGCCTGATGGAGCTGTTAGCTGAATTAAACTTACCTACACACACACACACACACACACACACACACACGCACACACACACACACATACACACACACACACACACAGCAGTTCACCCTAAGATTACTCATACATTACAGCTGTTTTGTTTGAGATCAGTGTATTACTCTTTGGTCCTCCATATAACGAAGAAATTTAATGTGACTGTGAAATTAATAATAAAGATCACATCATATTTTGTGGCAGATTATTTTTGTTATTTCACTGCTGCAAACCTTACCAGAGCAGGTGATTGAGAGCTGTTCTCTGGAGCTGCAGTTGACTGCTTGTGTGCTGCTGCAGTTCCCCAGATGAGCTTCACTCCCAGAACAATTAAAACCCGTCACACACATGTGTCTGTGTTCAGGACTGGATGGAGAGGAGCTGGAGAAGTTGAGCACAGAGCCACAGCCCAGCTGTCTGCAGACCACAGAGGCCTCAGACTCACTCCAGGAGTCCAGCAGAACTCTCCTCCAGTCCTGCCTGAAGTACACCTCCACCTCCCCCTCACACTCCATCCCTCCAGACAACCGCACTCGCCCCTCATGGAATGCCAGAGAGGAATCTGTAGAGGATTTATGCAATATAGCATATATTTTCTTTTTGATTAAGGATGTAACAAACTTAGTCAAACCTTTTTATGTTTTTTAAATTAGCAGAGGTTTATGCAGTTTCCATAAACATTAACAGCCACTCACCACTGCAGATGATTCCAGCATCCTGTTTATGAGAGCATGCCGTTCGACTCCATGATGAAATGGGACATTTTGACAGGTGTGTTTCGTTACCCTGACAATCAAACACATCAGCCCAGATCCGGCCACTCCCTTCCCCAAACCAGTCTGACCCCAACACAGCCACAGCACTCCCACACTTCAGCTGACCACAGAGGACACTGGCAGCTCTCATATCCCAGCTTACATCACACACTGTGCCCCACTCACTGAGGTACTGGAGTTCCACTCGACCAGAACAGGAGTCAGAGCTGTTCACCAGCCGAGCCTGAGTGTGACCTGTATCAACATCAAATAAATGAACAGAAATGAACATGAATAAAGACATATTATTGCTCTTATAATGAAAACCAGCAGTGGCAAAATTACTAAAATTTAAATAGCTTTTTAAAGTAAGCTTAAATATACATTCTTTACCCGAGCACACCAGTCCCACATCACTGTCATGGGAGCAGTTGTGTTTGAGTGAAGATGATGTCGGACATAAGTAAATCTGAGATTCGTTGCCTCTACACTGAAGCTCCTCTGACCACACCTGACCCTCCCCTCTGCCAAAAGCAGCTGCTCCCAGCACCTCCACAGCAAGCCCACAGCCCAGCTCTCGACACACAACCTCTGCATCCTGCTGGTCAAATCCAGCATCACACATCGTGGACCAGTTCTCTTCATGAAGCACCTCCACTCTCCCAGAGCACAGATGTGGACCATCAGCAAGTCTGAGCATCTGACCTGTGAGTATTTGAGTTACATTTGCACTTGCGTTACATTAAGATATCAAGGAAATAAATGTAAGTGTTGTACTAACTTTGTGGTTTATCTTCAGCATTTTGACTAACCACGTTTCAGCCCTGAGATTTTACTTAAAATATGATTTTCAGTGATGAAAATGTGCTGAAATGAGCCTGTTCAGGTGCTATTTACTTGATGTCTTCATCATTCTTAACTTTATATATTTTAGTCAACATGCTCATGATCTTGATGTGACTTGTCAAACCTAGGCAAATGTTTTAACCTTTTCAACTCCTTGAGACCACCGGTGGTTCCAAAACACACTTCGTCATATTCTTCATAACTTTCATATTTCATAAGCTATATTTAAAAGGTGGGTGTCATATGAGAGCTGTAAATGTCTTCTTTCCAGTCAAATAGATGGGTGATGTAATTTTAAACCCTTATAATAAAAGAAGCTGAACTCACAATTTTTTTTGTCTACTGAAAGTCGACCCATTTTTCCACAAATCTGGGCTATAAACCATAAACAGATGGTGTCTCTTCAGTGATCTGCTCTGTAAAAATTATTTTTATAAAATAATACAAAAAGCGTCTAAGATTTTCAGCTTTCAGTAGTAAATTGTAAGCATATAGCAATATGTGTATGATCAAAAACACATGTTCTGTTCAATTGAAGGGAGCTTTTACTACAAAAAAAAAAAAAGAAAATGAATAAAATAAAAATTTACATTTATTTCATGCAGTTACTGAATAATTTGCCTTACGATTTGGTCGTGTAAATTCAGATGGAAAAACCAAAATATACCCTGGTCAATAAGAGGTTAAACATAAAATTAATGTAAAGCAGTGTATCCCGCTCTATTACACTAAACCAGCTGCCTTTATATTGACCTTAATTTAATGTACTATAAGCATGTATGATAATAAAGTTTGAATCTTGAAGAACATGTGAAGTTTCTATACTAGTTTGGGTTTATTCACAGATAGAACCATATACTTCCTTAATGAGAGCTCTCAGTGCAAAAAAGGTTTTATCTGCATTGGGTTCAGGCTCTTTTCAAATATCCTAGAATTTGAGTGGTCAGACATCAGATTTCAAGGCTTTAGTAGGATATGAAAGGAGATTTTATGACAGAGGAGTTTTGCTATTTTGAAAGTGAAATCTTTGATCTTCAATATCTCAAAACTGCACTGAAGACAGACAGAACTTTAGAATGATCAGATCAGTTTTTTTCCCGTATTTTCTCACATACTCCCGATTTAGGAGTCACTAGTGCAAATTAAATACAAATTAATTACAGTTGAAGTGTTGATTAATATGAAGCTAGTGGGATGATAATCATGATTATATTTAGACAGACTGTCCTTCATAGACATGACTAATTACAGTTTACCTGAGCAGATGACTCCAGCATCTTCACCATGATTACAGTAATGTTTACCCCATCCTCTTGATCTACAGTTCTTCAGTGTAGACTCTGACCCACTACAGTCCACATTATCCATCCAGATTCGTCCAGATCCTCGTCCAAAATGAGCATCTCTCAGTACATTTAAAGCGTTTCCACAGCCCAGCTCTCTACACACCACTGCAGCATCTCTTATACCCCAGCCATCATCACACACTGTTCCCCACTGATCATTATGAAGAACCTCCACTCTCCCAGCACAGCGACTGCCACCATCCACCAACCTCACACTGTCTGTACAACAGAGAGAGAGAGAGAGAGAGAGAGAGAGAGAGAGAGAGAGCGAGAGAGAGAGAGCGAGAGCGAGAGAGACCTGTACAGTCAATCAGCCACCAACTAAGCTATGAAAAAAAACGTTTTATAACTAGGTTATGAATTGATTGACTGATTGATTGACTGACAAAAGGCAGAATCAGTCAGTAATATTTGTGCATAAAATATATAAATATAATAACTACACCTGGGAGAAACATATAATAAGAATATTTTTAAAATGTTACTGTAAAAACTGTCAGATAACCTGGCTGTTGTGAGGAAAGAGCGGAAGCGCTGCCTGACTAGGACGATAATTACTCTTTGGCCTGTTATTATCACAGAGTAGCACTTGGGGCAAAATACAAATTAATCAATGTTCAAAGAGTAATAAACAATGTGTATTTACAGCCCTTGTTCAACATATTTTACAAGATCTTCAAATTGCTCCCCCTTTCCAAATTACATGTTTTGTTTTAGAGAGAGAGAGTTAAAATGATTTAACTTTTAAATTATTTAAAAGCGAGTGTTCTTACCTGCTGTGGTGAGTGAGATTGTGGAGGACAGAACAATGAGAGCCACACAGCTGTCCATCTCCGTTCAACTCAGCAGCAGAACAAGCTTCTCCTCCACTCCCCCAGAGAGACTGAAGAAACTGAGAGAGAGAAAGAGAGAGAGAGAGAGAGAGAGAGAGAGAGAGAGAGAGAGAGGCTCCCCATAGCCGCCAATCACACTCACTATTACCTTATTAGAAAGAGGAGAGGAAATCATCAAACATTTTCAGTGACAAATCAGAGGAGGCATTTTTTTCTTTCTCCATATTTATCAAAAGAGCATCAGCGCTGATGAACAGAACTCCACCTCCATCTCTAAAGGTGTGTGTGTGAGGAGAGACGCTCGCAGCAGTGTGGTGAGAAACACACCAACATACAGGAGACTGACTTCAGAGAGAGGAAACACTCCAGTGTAATACAGCATTAATGCTGCACCTGCAGAGAGCTGATCCACACACTGATAACCATCTCACACACAAACAAACAATAATAATCTACTCACACATACAGACACACATTAATAACACTGCAAGTCCTGCTTAGGGGCCCCAAAAGGCTAGAGATGGCCCTGGGCATAAACTCTAGATAAGTTTATTAGTGTTTACTTATTATATTACTCTATTGTTATCCGACTGTATATTCTTTTTCTTCTTCTTCTTTTTTTTTGTACAAAAAAAAATGTATATGTCCTTTTTTGTCCCTCAGCTCCCATTTATTCTAAACAATGTCACGCTACCCTCCATTCCTGATGTCTCCGCCTCCCAGCCCCCCAGACTTCATTACCCAGAACCCCACTGCTGATCACATGACCGACAAGCTCCCTCACATGACTCTCCAATGTTCTGCCTCACCTGACGACTGATCACTCACATCTGTTCCTCGTTACGGTCACCTGTTAGTTCAGTATATAAGCCAGGGCTTTAGCTTAGCTCCTTGCTAAGTATTGCCTTTGTTAACAGAGCCTTGCCAAGCCTTCCATTTGTCTATTTGCATTTTTGTGTATGAACCTTGCTTTGTTTTCCTTCGACCTTGCCTTTTTACCTTGCCCTCTCAGTATTGAGTAAAGTCAGTACTGGCTGACTTTAATTATGGATACTCTCTTTATTAATAAACCTGAAACTTGGTAACCCTCTACAATCCAATCAGTAAACACCCCATACACCATAGCAACCACCTAGCCACATCTTAGCAACCACCTGACTAGAAGCTTAAGCTGCGCAATCATTCTGCATTTTCATCAGGAAATGCATTATTCAAGTTGTTGTATGCCATCTTCAGCAGTATAACTATTACTACTACTACTGGGTTTTCTGTCAGACAGTCTTAGATGTCTCATATTACCTTGTTTCAGTTTGTTGGATACCTTAGCAACTGCTTAGCAGCACCATATCCATGGTTTAGTTTCTTTACATTGTGAAAACAGGTTTTTAGGTTGTTTGGACTTTGGACCAATTACAGGAAGTTGAGGCAGGCTGTCATCACCCATTAAACAATAGAGGTAGAAAAAGAACTGGGAGAGATGGGGGTAGGCAGAGACAGGATATTTAATTGTAATTTGGTCTGACCAGAATGGCGAAACTCAACAGTTTTCTCCGTTCAAATGGAAAAGGTTACCCGCTGAATTGACAACATGCTGATATAAGACTCATGCTCCTCTATTAATAAATCAATGTTAAGTATAAAGACAGTCACCCCATGTAGGTGATGATGACAGGATATAGGTATGTCATGCAAAGTTCACTAAATTGCTTGCTGAATTACAAATTGAAACCAAAATTAACAGGATCAAATGTATATAATGTAACAAAAACATGAACCTTGATTTGGACCTTGGTCCGGTCTTTCAAGTGTGAAAACACCCTTAAAAACACACCAGAAAGTCCTAAGAAAGACCTGGCAGCAGATCAGACAGGCTCACGTTGTGCTTGTTTAGGCCAACAGAGGGATCTGGCTGCTGCTATCTACTAACCACTCCTACCACTTGCTCACCTAGTTTACTGCTGTGTAAAACTTGAACAGAAGCTAGCAAGTGTCAAGTCCACAACATCACCATAAACGTCTTTTCAAAACATGAGGTAACCCAGGGATTAAAGCTGGGAAGAGGTCACAGGACTTGAATCATGCTACCAGGTGGTAGCCCAGATTATCTGATTTGTATAGGTATATAATCTAATTGAATGTAGACTACCATGTGATCTACAAATAGTGCATAATTTTTTAAACTGTATCACTTTTTTCAGCCATCAATATATGACCTGTGGCATAAGTTCATAGCAGCTGTTTTTTGTCTCTCCAGAACTGGAGCTAGCCCAGGGGTGTGTTTAGGTCTAACTATTGGGCTATAGCCACGGTCTCTTTTAACTGCCAAAATATTTAGTATGAATATGAATTATGGGCATATATAAACACTGAATCTTTTGTAGTAAACATATCCCTGCCTCATCCTTGCCTAAGCCGATAGTGACTTTTGAGACCCTTTTTACTCAGGGACTTTTCTAAAAAGTGCCAAGCATCTAATCTCACAAGGGAAAGAGCAAGAAATATAAATCTTTTTAGGACTTTTGTCATTTATTCCCATGCATGCTGACCATTTTCTTTATTAAGTTTTCCATAGTCTACTGTAGCTTCACTCACTACAGTAGGCTACTGTGTGATGTCTGACACAGATTACAAAGTTACTAAGTTTGTTTATTACAGCACAACAGTTAACACCTTTAAAATCATCCCAGGCTTATTACATACTAAAGGTTATTATTCAGTAACTACAGGGACTTCAGTGCAAACTGATTGATCTATTCTTAGGTTCTAGATGTTTGTAACTTTGGGCCCACCAGCAGGCCCTGGCCATTTAAGAGGTTAACATGGTCAAAATACATGAAACTGGAACTGTCCCTGCTTTTTTATTTCATAGACAAAATCATCGGATATTCTAATGATGTATTGACCGCCAAACTGAAAACGTCCCCAGTTTTACTTTTGATTAACTAATGAACTAATGTTCACCTGAGTCACAGATCACATATATTACAATAACATCCACTGCTCAGAAGTGAAACAGTTTCTCCCCTGATACAATCTGTTATAATATAACAGTAAAATAAACAACTATCAGAGCTCCAGTTTGCCATAAGCTGTTTGTGTTGCTCATAACGGGAAAGTATGTGTAAATGTGCAGCTAGCTGATTAAATGAAATTAAATAAAGATTAATATCTGAATTTTTGATGCACCCTCAGTGTAATTCAACATACCTCTGGGGGTACAAGTACCACAGTTTGGGAACTACTGCCTTAGGGTTAACCATCAAACGTGCCTCCTTCAAATGTTTCTCATTTTATCATTTTAGACTGGGTCATTATTATAATTATTATTATTATTATTATTATTATTATTATTATTAACGGTTTCTTAAAAGTTTGACTTGAAATGAACTCCCTGTGATAAAACCACCACATAAAAACTGTACTGTGTAAAGCTGTAAAAAAAGTGTGGTTTAGTAGTGTTAAAGCCTGCTTAGAAAAAGGTCTGCATATGAAGCATGAGCCTTGGGCTGTCAAGTAACGTGTATGATTTACAGTATGTTAGCGTGGTACTATGGAACACAAACCATTACTGTTTATATTGCTTAGTCATAATTCACTCTGTTCTTGTTTATCATGTCATTGGTGTAAAAGTAGTTGTCTTGATGTTATTATGAACTACATGTTGTCCTTTCAGACATGATTTCAATGCTAAAGTAAAAAGCAAATAGGTCAGTTCTTCAATGCTAGGAGTGTACACTAGTCAGGCAGAGTTTGATAATGGGTAGTTTTACTTAGTAGTACTTGTTAGTAGTACTTTAACATGTTTCAAACATGTTAAAATTTCTGCTACCTTCCTTTTTATTCTCCCCTATGAACCGTGTCTGCAGCATGGGACAGTGGGCGGTGGGTTAAAGGGACGCGCAGACATAATTAAACATGTATATTTGCTACAAATTCCGGGTAATGTAGGGGCTTGGCATTTGCTGCCTTTCTAGAGGGTGAAACCAAATGATAGAGAACTATAAGTGCATTATGTGTTTCTTTAATGTTCTTTTGAATGTACCGCATCTGTGGTCATCAGGTTATGTAAAAAGTTCTGTAAGTGTTCTAAAGTAGTGTTTTTTGTATGATGTAATTGCTCCATATGCCTCTGTAATGTTTAATGATTTGTTCTTTAATTGAAAAGCTACTGAATGTGCTACAAGGCTTCTTGTGTGTGTGTGTGTGGTGAGACTGCTATCTGGGTAACCTCTATGAACGTATTGTGTATTTTTGGCCAGATGCCTGTGCATTTGGGCTGGTCAGTTGACTAATAGCACAAAGTGGTTTTTTGAGTTTTAACCAGTGGTAGACTGATTTCCAGTGTGACCGCTTTGCTGCCATTTATCAGGTATGTTGAGTGTCCAGCTATATTCTACTCCCATATATATATATATATGTGGCATGCGCCCGCCCCCCGGGCCCCGACGATGACGGCCGCGAGAGCCGGCAGGAAGGCGGGGCCCGAACAACCAGCGGCGACGAACCTCGGCCAGGACGGCAGGGAGAGAGCCGCGAGTGGGGAGGGGGCGGAGCGCAAAGCCCGCGCTCCTCCGAGTAACCCGAGTGACGCGAGTGATGGCGGGAGGAGGAGGAAGACGACGACGGCGCCGGCAACGAGAGGCACCAGGGCAAGGAGCGAGTCCCTGTTACGCAGCGAGGCCGCTCCATTACACCTCACGTTCGACCCGGGCGGCTGAGCTGCCAGCTGGGGGCGGTGACAAGGAGGTGGAGCAGCGAGCTCTCGTTCCCTCTCGGCTCAGGTGCTCACGCTGCCCTTAATGAGAGCCGGCTGATGCTGATCTGGCTGGCAGCGTGAGCGCCTTTTAAAGAGCTGAGAGGGAACAGAGCGAGAGAGAGAGGGACGAGCAGCAGCAGCAAGAGACTGAGGAGCTGAAAAGCTTATTTTGAAGAAGACTGAAAGGTCTAGCCTGCTTAGAGCCACTGAAAAGTGGCCAGCATAGTTTGGTTGTTTTGAGTTGTGTTGATTTGTTAATAAATATGGCTGCTGCAACCCTGAACCCTGCCTCCAGCGTCCTCCTTGAGCCCGGGGTAGCACATGCCGTGCTACAATATATATATCAATCCCATAATTTGGAGATTCAGAGAATATCTCACTCCACAATAGGTATATACATTTGTGATAATTTTTTTTTCTTTCAATCATTGTACTTCAAATAAATAATATTGGTATTTTTTTTTTAAATAAATGAATAATTAATCATTAATCCTAACTGTGTTGCAATTTTAGACACTCTCTTCATGCCTATTTGAATGTGCACCTCTGCCTTAGACTCTCACCTAAAATAAGATTTGTAGCCACTAAGGATATTCTTTCAAATGCTGGACTCAATTTCATTGTGCTTGATTTATTGTTAAGCCTAGTAAGACTATGAAACTTGCTATTTATCTAAGTATTTATGTTCAGTGTTGCAGGTTCAGAGTTCCTCTCTATGATATCACAATAACAATAAACTTATGCGTGTTTGTGGCAAGTTCACACTGTACATTGTCCAAGGGGACGGTATTTAAGGTCAAAAGACTAACCCAGATGCTGTCACAATTGTGACTCGAGATATTGCAACCTTAACAGGCTCAGTACACTGCAGACACTGTGAGAGCCAGAGTGAACAGGCTGCTTTGGGGGCGGAGCCAATGATGATGGAGACAAAGATAGCAAAGTGGTGTGCAGCGGTGTTAACGGTGGTAGATCCAGCTTCCCCAACAGCAGCAGAGACATCAGTTAGAGCAGTGCTGAGCTCCTATATCAGCACAGAGAAGTTTCAGAGAGATCCTAAGAATGACATTGAGCTACTGCAGCTGCTGATGTGTCTTCATACTGAGGCTGTGGTGGTTGGATATTGGGGAGCAGCTTGGCAGGCCACAGTCAGGGATGGGTCATGTGATTCTGGGGCCCAAGGCAAAAGACTGGGGCCCTCTTCATGCACATTTGTAGTGTTGCAGCCATCTACACTGCAAAAATTCAAGGGAATTCATCCTAAAGTTGTTAATATATAGTTATATATATAATATTATATATAATAATATATAATATAATTTGTTAGAATATTATAAGATAATGTTGCTTGTTAAAAAAAAGACTGCACTGAAATGACTAGAAATAATCACTACAATATATGTACATTTCAGAATAGGTCATTTAACATCAACTGTACAGTATATCTAATTTGTATTTAATGGGGCCCTTGGTTCTTGGGGGCATTAGGTGGCTGCTTTCCTTTGCCTAGTGCAAAGACTGCCCCTGTCCACCATTGTCTCATCAACTGCTGCTGGGAGGACACTGTCCCTGGTTTTATACTCTGGCAGCTGTTGGTGTCCAGTAGCCTTGATGGAGTGGATTGGGGTTGATATTGGGGTTGACATTCAGTTATTTTCTCATGGTCATGGACCACTTCAGAAAGTGTGTTGTTCACAGGGCTGTTTTAGTGTCGTTTCAGTCTAGAGCCTGAACATTCTGTTCTGTTGACCTTCATTAAGGTTGAGGTGCAGTGTAGGAGTGTAGGTGAAATTAAGGAAATCCCAAATTTATACTCTGTATATCTTTCAATATGTATGAAGAACAGCACAAAGACAATTTCTCTCAAACCACTGTAATATATTCCATGCATTACACACTTAAGTCATAAGAAACTAAAAAGATATAGAATTCAGTATATAAGAAAGATATAGAATTCAGTATGCAGTCATTATGATGTCTGTGTGGTTATAATCTCAAATTATCAGCATAATAAAACAAAATCTTACAGTTCAACTCAAAACAATCATTTCATTGAACTGTAATTAGTTTTTGGCAACATTGGAAAATTCTCATAAAGCCTTTAACTTCCTTTAATTCATACCACGTATAAGATTTTCATGAAGACCAAAAAGTTGGTTAGAGATATCAAAGTAAGATTATGATAATGATGTAGCATTAAATGTTTTAGCTGGCTAAGGCTGGTAGCATTAAAGTGAATGTTAAAATGTTATTTATTTCTATACATTTTGGGGGTTGTTTAACTCCTCTATATCCCATTTATGCTCCGTAAAAAATGCTTCCTGCGTTTCTTGCGTTTGAATGTAATTTTGTAATTTCTTGAGGAAAGACACTGGCTGTGTGCTCTCAGTCACACGATTGTCTCCAAGGCTCCTTCTCCATGTCATCAAAATCTGTAAAACAAGTGCATTAAAACTCTTTAAAATAAAATAAATAAAAAACACACATCTTTCTTATAGTTAATGTATTCCGAAACACACCAAAGAGGACAAGCTGAAAACAGAGCACTATGTAACTCTGTTTAATATGCAGCCTGCAACTCAGAACAAGTTGTTCTTCAAATATTTTCCACCGTAATGCTAAGATGTTCCATGTGTAGAAGATGCTACAGAGCTGCCAGTGAATACTGAATGACTACTTCACTCTGATTCCCTGTTCAGTTAAGTGTTCAAATATACCTCTTTCAACTCATCTACTAATTACTATGGTTGGTCAGAGTGTTTAAACAGAGAAACTTCAAACTGTGCTGGACACTGACTCTCCATAACTTTCAGCTCTACCAGTCTATTCTGTTTATTTAAATAAAAGATTTTTGCAACCAAAAAAACACAACCAACTTTCTTTTAGTTTTGAGCATCTGCATTATCTATCATTCCCAGAACAGACTTAGACAGATGTAGAGAGGGCTGATTACTTCCCTAGTAGTGTTATCAGTGTTGTGCTAATCATTTCCATTCTTACTCATGTGCACACTTCTTTTTGCACTGAGTGTGCAAGTAAATACAACTAATAAATTAGTCACCTGAAGTGCCTCCACTTGAATAAATGTCAGCACTTTAAAGAGTGAATGATGACTGTACTTGTTATAAAGATGACAGCTTTAAGCTCCACATCAAAATAATGAGGACAATGTTTATCATGGGCGGCACGGTGGCGCAGTGGGTAGCACTGTCGCCTCACAGCAAGAAGGGCCTGGGTTCGATTCCCGGCCGGGTGACCAGGGTCATTTCTGTGTGGAGTTTGCCTGTTCTCCCCGTGTCTGCGTGGGTTTCCTCCGGGTACTCTGGTTTCCTCCCACAGTCCAAAAACATGCAGTCAGGCCAATTGGACATGCTGAATTGACCCTAGGTGTGAGTGTGAGTGTGTGCGTGAATGTGTATGTCTGCCCTGCGATGGACTGGCGACTTGTCCAGGGTGAATCCTGCCTTCTGCATAAAATTATGACCACCTCTTTGTTTCTACGCTCATTGTCTATTTTATCAGCTCCACTTACTATATAGGTGCGCTTTGTAGTTTTACAATTACAGACTGTAGTCCATCTGTTTCTCTGCATACTTTGTTAGCCCCACTTTGCCCTGTTCTTCAGTGGTAAGGACCCCCATGGTTCCTCATAGAGCAGGTACTATTTGGGTGATGGATCATTCTCAGCACTGCAGTAACACTGAAGTGGTGGTGGTGTGTTAGTGTGTGTTGCGCTGGTCTGAGTGGATCAGACACAGCAGTGCTGCTGGAGTTTATGTATTTTTATTACAGCTAGTATTCAATGTTCAGATTTTTAAAATCCATATCATAAACATGTTCATTGTGAGGGGAGATCTGCAGTCTCTTTGCTCAAGAGAAATCCTATCACTGCCTAAATCTAAATATTACATCATTCTGACGCTTCTTATGGCTGCATCAACCTCCTTATTTAAACTTAAACATTACAAATATAGCGCAATTTAAAACTGATAATCATAAACATGTAAAACGTCTGAGGATTATAACAAAACAAATTTGGTAAAAATTAATAATAAGGACATTATGGCCATCATCATGATGGACGTGCAGGCGTATTGCCTCAGATAGAGCAACAGATGATGCAGCATCTATGCATTTAAATCTATGGCCACTTGCCTTTTAACCTTCATACATCCTATCCAGCATCATCACAGTTCTCTTGTGTTTTCACTACACCAATATGGGATGATGAATTATAACAACAATAAATGAACTTGTTATTTTTATGTGTTGACGATTCAGTTTTAAATTATTTGTTTACATGAAGAACAAATAACTTACTCATAATGTTGGAGTTTGGTCCAGTGTTAACAGCATCATCATAGATATCTGTCACTGTTGAAAAGTAAAAATTAAATAAAATCAGCTTCAGTATCATCAGTGACTGTGTTCATGTTTGAGATCACATTATTGTTACATTACAAGTCAAACCTGTTACAACAGCTGAGCTCTGATAAGCACTGATGACATCATCATAATTCTCTGGTACGTTCTCTACACCAAAACACAGAGATGTTTTAAAGGATATGAAATCATATTTTATGCAGTTATATTTGTCAGTTGTTTCAGGCAAAATCAGTGAATGTAGGTTTTGATAACACTATTTTGATTGTTTATTAAGTTTTACAAAATATAACAATAAAAATGATGAGCATTTGTTATGGGCACCAAAATACCCCCTGTACTTATCTGTGGACCACTGCTGTAAGAGACAGTAAAGCTCCACAAATGCTTCAGAAAGCCAACAATTTACAATTCAAAATGTACAATTTCACAGCATTTGCAATGATTTTTAACCATAATTTAAAAACTAAAACCCCAAAACAGAAACACACCTGCTACACCAACAGAGATCTGTCCAGCAGTGATGACATCATCATAGCTCTCAGCTGTGTCCTCTTTTGCTGATTCACCTAAATCAAATTAAAGCAGTCTGACTTTACAAACAGTTCAATGATATTTTTACATTGTGGTTTAATGTTTAAAAATAAAATAACAAGATTAATTAATAAAGGAACTTACTTATCAGGCCACTGGTGGTGACATCATCGTAATGTTCTGCCTTTACTCCAGTCAGAGACTTTGCTGCAAAAAAAGCAAACTGTATCACATTTAATTACATGTAATTACATTAAAACACTCATTCAGAGACTCTTTGATGTTACAATTTCTGTGTGACTCCATTAAGATTATGCATCTAAATCATTTCAGTTACACTTTCTATGAATGCCATGTCTGTAAGCATCTATAAACACATTTACAACATGTTATAATGCATGCATATGGCATCATAAACATGATTATAAACATTTATAAAAATGAATTACACTTTATAGCCATGTTTATTATACATTATGAATTGTTAATATAATGCATTATAAGTAGTGTTAATAACATGTTATACTGTCAGTGCCAAAGAAGTCAGTCCCAGCTTGGAGAGCGTAAAATAAAGACAAATACCAAGCTAACGGTGGTGTACATTGACTTTTCCATGTTGGGTAAAACACTGATGGCAGCACTAGTTTAAAATCTGACATTGGAAGCCTGTAATGTGCTGTACTTTGTACATTGAAGTGTTTCAGTAAATCCTTCAGTAAATACTTCAACTTGTAGCCTCACCCTTAACACTGGAGGAGGCTTTAGTACAGTATGCTTTACTTAGAGTGGACAAATACGACTTATGAGCTTTTATAATTTGTTATGACCAGTACTTATAATTTATTATGTTAACAATTCATAATGCATAATAAGCATGGCTATAATGTGTAATGCATTTTTATAAATATTTATAGCCATGTTTATAATGCCTTATGAATGCATTATAACATGTTATGAATGTGTTTATAGATGCTTACAAAGGTGACATTCATAGAAAGTGTTCAACCATCATTTCTAACAGACACTTCTGATCTAGAGATTAATCTTTTTTTTTAACAGAGAAACAAACATAAATACGGGGCTGAAAATAAAAGTATTATCTTTTGAAGTTCGTAAGTAAAAAGTCTCTAAACAGTTTAATTGACTCATATAACTAAATACATATAACTGAGTAAATGTAGCTGAGTGATTGTAAATAATTACTAACTGCCTCTGATGCAGTGTTTTAAATGCTGGATTTAATCTGAGCCTAAATGTTCTTGGCTTAAAACAAATGACTAAAAGAGAATATATTCAGTGGGGTTATTAAAGGAGGAGTTTGCATTTTTTGAGAGTAAATTTATAAAATGCATTTAAAAGATCAAAACAAAAGTGGAACTTATTATCATTAATATTATTTATTATTTATAATCAATATCTAACTGTAATTAAATGCTTAAAAATGATTTGGAAACAGTTTCCAAAGAACTAACCTTGGGCCACATTCACCAATCTCTTCCTAAGCCTTTTCTTAAATTTGTTCTTGAGAAACATTCTAAGAAAAATTTAAAAACTCAAATTTAAGCAGGAATTTCTTCTTAACCCTTTAATGTCCTCATCAAGCGAAAAGGCTTGATATTTTTTTTAAATAATGTTTGGGCAATAGTAAAACAATTGGTGTTTTTTTTTTGTTTTGTTTTTTTTGACCCCACAATTTTTAAAATATTTACGTCTACCAAATGGTTGAGATGGCACTTTGTGGCATGTATAGTGACTCAAAATGTGCTCTACCAAATGGTTGAGCAGAACATTAAAGGGTTATGATCAGTTGGTGAATGAGGCTCTTTGTTCTTATATTTTCAGGTTTTTTTTTTAATTATTTATTTAATATACTCAGTCATGATGTGTTCATTGTTGACAGTATTTTAGTTTTTAATAATTATTATATCAATTAATCTTAAAGTTAATGTATTTTATTATTCGCAGTTACTGTTGCAGTTAACAACTGTATGAGTTAATCAGCCTGTTTGTTCTGTAAATGTACTTTACTTGATGTTAACTCCGGCGGTTAACAACTGATTCATTCTCATATTTACTTATTAGTAATGTAGCATAATGCATTATCCATTACTAATGATTCCTATATTCGTTCATGAGTTATTGCCGTATAATTACTAGGTTACTGAGAAAGCTTTGAAAGCTTACCTGTCATAATGATGGAGTCTGGTCCAGTGGTAACAGCATCATCATAGTTATCTGTCATGTCTTCTGTCATAATGTAGAGATAAATGTCATTAAATCAGCATCAGTATCATCAGTGACTGTGTTCATGTTTGAGATTACAGTATTGTTACATTACAAGTCAAACCTGTTACAACAGCTGAGCTCTGATCAGCAGTGATGATGAAGCACTTTGTGATTTGTGAATTTAGATGTAAGATAGTTAAGTACTGATAGATCCAATATAGTGGTGCATTTCTCACGCAGTGGCTGCTCCGGGGCCTGGAAACATGGAGCTTTTGTTTCTTGTAGTCACTTTCTTAAAACAATTTTGATCAAGATGTGCATCCAAAACATTGGTAAACGTCTGTCATTGCATGACCCTGCTTGATATGGGAAAACAGAGTTCAGCTGTAATAAATTACAGACTGTTGGATGTGGTGCTCGACCTACAGAAGGGACTGCATGATGCTGCTGGCTGGGAGAGAGTTCGTTGAAAACTGTGTGCCAGAAAGTGGAAACACAGTGAACACTCGGGCATTCAAGCTAGGCTAATGCTAACCCTAGCTCTACCATTTCTTCTGCTGTCCACCATCCACTCTCTCAACAATAAACTGGATCACCCCAGACTACAGCTAAACTGTTTTTGTTTTTACGGAAAGGTGGATCGGTAACAGCATCCAACTAGTGGAGCTAACAGGTGACTGCACCGACAGGGTAACGGCACTGTCCTTTAAAACCTGTGGTGGTGGTTTGTGTTTTTACAAACATGGTGTACATTCCACCACGCACTAATGCGAGGGAAGCACTGAACAATCTTTATGGGGTTATCAGTCACTGCAGACTTTAATCATGCAAATCTGAAGTCAGTGCTACATAAAGTCTACCAGTATGTTGATTTTGTGACTGGTGCATTAAATATATTGCACCTTGTTTACATCAATATCCATGGTGTCTATTAAGCTGAACCTCAGCGCCACCTCGACTGCTTGGACCACATCTGTATTATGTTAATTCCAGCATACAAACCTCTGCTCAAGGGAGCCCAGCCAGATCTGAAACAGGTGAGAAAATAGTCTGAAGGACCATCTCAGCCATTCAGGACAGTTTTGAGCTCACAGACTGGAATATTTTCAAGGACTGGCTACATTAGCAAGTGCATAGATGATGTGACTTCCTTCAAGACCTTCATCATTCATACTAACCAGGCTCTATCAGCAACAATGATGAGTCAGCATACAGGGAGGAGGTTGAGAGGCTTAGGGACTGGTTCAAAGGCAAAAATCTCTCTCTTTATGTTCATAAAATGAAAGAGATGATTGTTGACCTCAGGAGGATTCACAGTGATCACTTTCCACTGCACTTCACTGATTCAACTGTGGAGAAAGTCAAAAGCTCCAGTTCCTTGTTCCTTGGTGTGCACATCAGTGATGACCTCACCTGGGCCCTAAACACCACCTGCCTAGCCAAGAAAGCCCAGCAGCAATTTCACTTCCTGAGAAGGATGAAGATAGCAAACTTTCCCACTTCCATCCTCACTACATTCTGCACGGGGATGGTAGATAGTGTCCTGACCAGCTGTCTCATTGTCTGGTATGGGAATGGCACCGTCTCAGACCACAGGACCATATAGCAGATTGTAAGGACAGCTGAGAAGATCATTGGTGTGTTTTTACCCACTTTCAATACCTCTTACCACAAGCACTGTATCCGCAAGGCCACCAACATTGTCGACGACCCCTCCCACCCCTCTCATGGACTCTTCACCCTTCTGCCATCTAACAGAATGTATGGCAGCATCCGTTCCACCACCTCCAAACTCTGCAAACAGCTTCTTCTCTGAGGCAATCAGATTATTGAACACACTGATGTCCCCCAGCATCCAACTGAACTATGAAAGCTACTATGAGACCTCTTTCTATACAGTTATATAGCTGACAGTGATTGGACTAGGTCCTTTATCACTCAATCGCTTGATGCCAAAACTTATTTATAAATGTATGTGTATATATACAAATATATATGATGCCCAATTATATATAGTTTTGTTGTCTAGTATTTGTTGTCTTGTATGTGTGTATATATATATATATATATATATATATATATATGTATAATTATTTTGGATGCATATATTGTATATATATATATATATATATATATATATATATATATATATATATATATACCCATATGCTTTTTCCTCCAGGTCCACTTATAGTATTTGTGTATCATAATTTTTTTACATGGCCATTTTTCAACCTCTATTTCTCTCTACAATTAAAAAGCCTTTTTGTTACTGTTGCTTTAAGCCTGATAAATGTAATCAAGCCTCAACTCGAAATGGCTGTCCTTTATTGTGCCTCATTCAAAAAGATGCTGCACTCCTCATAACTTCAACATAAATGCATGGAGTTTCACTGCTGTAGACTGAATAGGCATGTATACCTAAATGATTTTTATATGGGCATTTTGAAAACTAAATGGTTTATCTAATATATAAAGCTCCTGTATTTAAAAATAAAGTGAGGAACATTTTTTTTAAAGATATGGACCCTTAAAAATCTAAAATCATGCTTTAGATTGTTGTTTCATCAAGTATTTCAGATATAACCACAGAAAGTTTTATTAGACGCAGAAACACACCTGCAGAGATCTGTCCAGCAGTGGTGACATTTTCATAGCTCTCTGCTGTGCTGTCTTTTGCTGATTCACCTAAATCAAAACAGCCTGTATTTACAAACAGTTCAATCAAATGTTTACATTGTGGTTTAATGTAAAGATAAAATCAAGTGATTAATTAATATAGGAACTCACTTAGCAGACCACTGGTGGGGACATCTTCATAGTAGTCTGCCTTTACTTCAGTCAGAGACTTTGCTGCAAAAAGAGCAAAAAGTATTACTTTTAATTAAATTTAAATCTTAGTCTGATAGATTTCTGACAGACGCTTCAGAACTGGAGATGAATCAAATCTTTAAATAGAGAAAGAAATTAAAGATAATTTCACTCTGAAATTGCAAAGAGGTATTAGGCAAGGCAAGTTTATTCATATATGAATAAATGAAAACATAAAGAGATGATTCAAATTAAAATATAGAGATGTAGGAAAATAGAAATTAAAAATATGACTAACATGTATAAAATCAGATGTTTTGCATTGTGCTGTGCACAATTTGCTCATGAAAAGTGTAGTTGTGCTGTCATTTATGCACCTTTTCTTAAAACAAATATGTCTTTATCTTTATGTCTAGTGAGGCCCATGTTTAAAACAGAAAATTCAGTAATGATGTGACAAAGCAGCATCTTTAACAGCAAGACCTTATGAGACCACATTGAAAGTGTATCCATGAAGGGTGTACTCCTGGTCACATGCTGTGAGAGTTCAAAAAAGTCCAATTGGGGCCACAGTTCCTAGGCATGACTATCCTTGGGATCATCAATTAGGATATTAAAATCACCAGCGATAACAAAATGATCAAAAATCATCAACAAAATTAGCATAGTAGACAATTACTGCAATTAACTGCATATAGAAACTTACAGGATTAGAAGCCACCAAACGATCACTGCTTGCATTGGAAAGAATCAAATGCAGCAGCTATACATCCACTTTCTTGCTGGAATGTGAGACATTTATAAAGTTTGGTGGAGCTGACTCAATTAATACAATAGTAGCACTCACTTGTTTGTGAGAGATCCGATACTGAGAAGAGCTAACTTAGCAACATGTTCACTTTGCTCCAACAGCTGTGTCTCACATTTTACATACTTTAGATTGGATACATTCACATTATCTGACATGTACTCCCTGTTCTTTTTTATGATAAGTACTAGAATGGAAGAGAATACAGGCACACTTTCTCTGAGGTGCTATAGTTGGTGGGGCAGCTTGACTCTTCTTAGGGTAAAGTCTGGGGGATTGAAGTGGAGATGAGACAGTAGATCAGGGTGAAGGAGAAGCTGGTCTGATTTTTCACTGTATCTGAGTTCTGGCTGACAAGGCAAGTGACAGTCTCATCCCGGCTGATAACAGCTTCTCCATGGTCGTTGGGATATTCAGGTGGGGTGGGAAGTTGAGATGGAGGATAGTGTGGATTGCTAATGGGATTTTTGTTTCTCTGGAGTTAATACGGTTTATCGTTGTCATGGCTGTCATTCAACAGAGCAGCAAGATTAGTACCAAGCAGATTATAAATGCATTTTATTTACACAGTTAATTAAAAGTCTCTTGATACTCTAGTGAATGTATTTACTGCTGCTACATCATTAATATGTTGTTGATATGTTACTGAAAATCTGTTGAGTATTTATTTAATCTAAAAAAAGACCACTCAAAATAAAGTTATTGAAAAATGTCCACTTTTGGCCTCAAAGTGCTCCTGGCTTGTCCATATATATAATGAGCTCAGATGCTGACCTGTCCACAAAATCAAATGGAAAAAAAAAAAAAAATCTTATATATTGTATCATTGGCACAGAAGAAGATGCAGAAAACATTATGCATGTGGGCAAATCAAATCAATTACATTTACATTGATACACTTAAACTATTTGTGCTTTGTCTCATGGAGAACACCTGATTCAACTCATTCACTAATTAACAAGCTCCTAGTAGGCTGGGTCAAGTGTGTAGTGCAGGGCGTCATCAAGAATAAGATCGGTAAATGTGACAAGAAGAAGAAGAAAGAACTAGAAATCAATGTAATGGCAAAAGTTACCTAATGACAAAATGTGTAATGTAAGTGTTACAAACAATTTAATTTATGATGGTAAGGCAGGACAAAGAGTCAATTCTGTTGCAATTAATGCAAGTAAAAACATTTAGTTCAAATTTGTTTAACTTCATAACCCTGGATGACAACACAGGAGGATCAATAGCCATCAATCAGACTCAGGAGCTAACTCCTTAATTCAAATTGTAGACTGTACCGCTACACAATTCTCATACCTGTGAAGTCATTAACCTTAGCAAAGAAGGAGATGCAGGAATCATAGCACTTTTGAGGGAAGGCTCTTGAATTGAACACAAAATAGAAAAACACCGCCGCCTAGTATTAACAAATGCAGCAGGGTAGACAGCAGGTCATTTCTAGCCTTAGACAGCCCGTTTATGTAAACACTTCAGACTCACCTTCTACCCCACAGTCCAGCACAACGCATACTTTATTGCTTCACCTCTTAAACCGAACTTCAACAAATCATTTAGACATTTAAGTCTTTCACTGCTGCCACAGCAGTACCCATGGTGCTTCAGGCTCACTGCTCCACATGGCCAAGCCTCCCACGGGTCCTGGCCAAATGAGCCAGTAACGATACCTACAATATACACATTCATCTGTTTTTCTCCCTCTCTCTCACTCTCTCTCTCTCTCTCTCTCTCTCTCTCTCTCTCTGACACACACACACACTCACCTACACACACCTACACACACACACACACACACACACACACACACACAAATACACACACACAAACACCTGCAGCTGTGTGGTTTCTCTGACAAATTACGCAGTTTAACTTCAGCTGCCGAATAGATGCTTATCAGCAGAATTAACACACTACACTACATGTAGATCTACTCTAACTGTACATTTCATCTAATATACACTAAACTCTCATTTAACTGATTTACTCTCAATATTAATACACAGAGAAAGAAATACTGAAAAAATGGCTGAAGATTCTGTATTAGTTATTTATGTTAAACTTTAAAATCATCATTTAATCATAATTCAAGAAAATTAAACATTGGTTTGATCACTGGGCAAGTGGGCATGCATTGCAGTGTGTGTTCTGTTATGTCAAATGATTTAATACAATTATTTTAATTTAATACAATAAGCTTTACAAAAACATTCCATTTATCACTCACCCTTTTGAGTCGAGTCATTTCTTTTAGTGATGTATTTGCTGTCAATCTCCTCATAGACTGCCTCAGGCAGAGTCTTACGCTTCCTCTTAGAGAGCACTGTGAGGGGGCAGAGAGAAACATGAAGCCAGTTCAGTAGAAGTGAAGACTGATGACAGACTGAAGGACTAATGATGTTTAGAGAATGTACAGAAAGTGGATTATAGATGATCTCTGAATCTCTCTACCTCTCCTGAGCACTCTGTTCTGGTAAAACAGCACAACCAGAAGCACTAAGGCCAGGAGGAGCAGCACTCCCAGAACCAGGAGAGACACTGGATAGATGGACTGAACAGTAGTTGGATGAGTTTGTGGAGGACTGATTGTTCTTTTTGCTGATTCACCATCGGTAAATATAAAACATATTAGAAACTGTGTAGAGCACTGAACAAATTACTTAAAAAACATTTAGAAAAATGACCAAGAAAAAATAAAAAGACAAAAAGTGTACCTGTGGTGGTGGAATCAGTGGCTGTTATTTCAGATGTAGTAGTACTAGAAGACACAGATATGTCTGTATATACAGAAATAAAACTGTCAGTGAAACCTAAATATGTTATGCACATTCACCAAAGTGAAAGGTTTGGTTTTATCTAGCATTCTTATGGTTTTATTCACTGAATAAGAAAAATTAACCAACATTAACAAAGCCGAATAAAATTGTCTCATAGATTATTAAAACTGGGACAAATGAGTCTCGGGTGGAGTCGAAACTCCAAACTCCGGCAGACTCCTCTGACCTGTACAGGTGACTCCAGCATCCTGCCTGTGTGAGCAGTCAGTGTGGTTCTTCAGGGAATGAGGACAGTCCCACAGGTGAATCTCATTCCCTCTACACTTCACTCTGTTCAGCCAGATAGGTCCTTCACCAGCACCAAAGACAGCACTCCCATCAGCACTCAGTGCCGGCCCACAGTCCAGCTGTCTGCAGACCACCTGAGCATCCTTGATGTCCCACAGATCATCACAGACCGACCCCCACTCAGCGTTATGATACACCTCCAGCCTCCCAGAGCAGCTTCCATTTCCTTCCCTCAGCCTGAGAGGCAGGTGATCTATTTCACACACATCACACATGAGGAGATATTGACAAACTTCATCACAAAATTTATGACACATCTGTGTACCAAAATGTGGGTTTTCTTTACTGCTAATAAAATAAAAAAATGGTTAAACAAACATTTAGCCCTTTTTTTGCTTACTTGTGCATTGTCTCTGCTGTGTCTGTTTGGGAGATGATGAGCACCTCTGATGACTTTGTAACACATGACGACTTTCATTTTCTGAGAGAACGGTAAGATAATTTATTCATCTTTGAGCTGTTACACACAAAGCTGTTTTGCTTATAGATTTGACTTTCCATAGAATTCTGCTCTACAGCTTTTTCCATCACATTCATTCAACATTAATCAGGTCCTTATATTGTACACATTTTACTGATTTCAGTATTCAAAACCACTACAATCTACCTACCTGAGCAGGTAATGCGAGCCACCTCATTGCTATTATCACATGTGTTCTGTCTCCAGGGGGAAGATGGGCAATGCCACAGAGTGGAGTCATGCTTCCTACATTTTAGATGATCCAGCCAGTTAGGAGCCGATTCCACTCTTGCTTTGGCTCGGTTCTCACTACCAGATCTTCCACAGTTCAGCTCTTGACAGATCAAACTCACTGTTTCTTCATCCATCCCATTTACACACACATTACCCCAGGTTCCATTGTAGAACACTTCCAGATTCCCCTCACAGCCCTCAGTGAGTCTGATCTCTTTAAATTCTTGTGAGAGAAAGTTGACTAAGTTTATCAGTCAGTTTTTAATATACTTGTTTACAATTTTCAGATCTTTATTGATTAGTGGACTACTAGTGCATATTGTTAGTGCCACTGTAGAGAGGGTTATCATCTTCAAGTTCCTTGGCATACACATCACAAAGAACCTCACATGGACTGAACACACCAAGCAGCTCTTCTACATCAGAAGCCTGAGAAGGTTTAACATGAACCCCCACATTAGCTCACTTCACACTTGTTCTGTTGAGAGCATAACAAAACACTCTCTGGTTACTTCTCTTGCAATGATTTAAAAATAAATAAATAAAAAAAAGACAATAGTGCAAAGAAAATAGACAAAGGCACAAAGACAATAGGTGTATAGACAACATATACAGATATGTGTATGAGCAGTAACTGTAGGTCAGAAGGCAGAAATAGAGTGCAAATTGTACTTACTATACTATCATAAATACCAATAATAGTTATATAGTCTTGTGCAATAACAGTTTAGGTGTTAATAGTGAGTATTAAATGGAAGAGTATAGTATGTTGAGGTAAACCAGATCTGGTGTGCAAATTATAATAAGTGTTTGTAAACAGCATCACAGATGTTATATATGCTATATAAGTGTAAGGTAAAGGTAAATGAACATTAGGAGTTTAATGTTCAAGCATACAGCTTACAGTGTAAATGTTCAAGTATAGAGTGCATAAAGCTTAAATGTTTCCAGTTAAAGTGCAATGTACATACAGTCGCATGAGCTAGTGGAGCTCAGTGTGTGGATATGCTGAGTAGACTAGGAGGATCAGGGTTAGATCAGTAACAGTCCGTAGTGTGTGTATTCATGTTCAGGTAGGTGTTGCTTGTGTGACCAGTTTAACAGCTTATGGGTAAAAAAACTGTTCTTGAATCTGGTGGTTCTGGCTCAGATGTACCAGTACCTCTTTCCGGATGGCAGAGGTCGAAAAAGGGAATGGCTGGGATGTGTGGGGTCGGAGGAGACGGCTTTCCTCAGACACCTCTTCTTGTAGGTGTCCTGTATGAGTGAGAGGGCTGGGCAGTTTTTACCACCCTCTGCAGGACCTTACATTTAGTAGCATGATGCTACTGTAGCAGACCATCTTGTCAGGATGCTCTCTACAGTGGACTTGTAGAAGTTGCAGATGAGCTGTTGTGTCAGGTTGACTCTTATTAGCCTTCAGTTGAAGTGGAGGCATTGTTGGACCTTTTTGACAATATGTGATGTGTTAAGTGACCAGGTGAGGCAACCCACTAATGACTGTCCCAACCCCCACCTGCTCCCACCTTAGGCAACATTGTGCAGAAGTGTGTAACTTCTTTTTCACTTAAGCATTGTTTAGAAAGGGTAGTTTGGATTTATACTAATTCTAAATTGTCACATTTCTTTATAAAGTAGAATGGTTAGAGATTCCAGGTAGCGTTATGTAACCATGGTGTGGAATTAAAATACTTTTCGATATAATAATCTGTAGACTCAGAGGTTACTTGTAATGGTTACCTTTGAAACAATAATGTTTTTGTATATGAAATTGTATGCTTATTATGTTCTTTTCTTTAGTGGTAACCACACTCAGAATCCTTAAAAGTTGGCGTGTGATGGAACCTAAGCAGTCCTGTAGACAAAGAAACTGCATATTCATTAGAAATTGAGTGCAAAAACCCTTTTCCCCTGCCTTAGCCCCGCCCGCAAAAGTTCCTTCTTTAAAACCGGCAAACCCGCACAGAGAGAGAGTGGGAGTCACAAGGAGAGAGAGAGACAACATGTGACTGCCCTCTCCAAAAGAAAAGCACTTAATCTGCAGATGTATTTTTGTTTTGTGTCTCAGTTTGTAGTGTCTTTGTTCAGTTCATTTTGTTTTTTATTCACTCTGTAATCTTGAAGTCTTGGTAACTGCTAGACTCTGTTTGCACATTAAATAGCCACATCTAGCTGCATCTAATTTTAAGTTTTGTCGATTCATTTTGAAGGTCTGATTGGCAACAATAGGTCATCGCAAACTCTGCAAACATAGTTTAAGAGCTTCAGACCAGAGCGAGCACGCGAGGACTGCAAGCCATCCAGTTACAGAAGTTGCTTCTGCAGCCCGATGTCCCCAGCCATTGCTGAGAGCAGAACTAGGAGAGACCGCAAGACGACGAAAGCCCATCGAGGTTCACCTTGCTCAACCGTTCAGGCTGGTCTTGTGGTGTTCTGGGGTAATGGCCTAGTGACTCCACTGCGACCTGTGTACACTCCCGTGCATCCCACGCAGCTATAGTCCCAAGGCTATAAGATACTTTCACTTCTTGATATGGTTCAGTTTCACTGCATCACTCTGTTCCCCTTCTTAATCTAAACTTAGCTTAGTCATTACATAATTGTTAGTATTGTATTCTGCATGCTGCCCAAATGCCATCAGACTCAGCTAATTACAGTTTGTTTATCCGGTGAAGTGCTTATCTCTAGTTCCTTTGCATACCTTTACTTTATCATTTAGTGCCTATATCCCTTTTGCAACCCTTTAATTTAGTTCTCATATACCTTTATCAATAAATGAACCTTTATTAAAGCTATCACTGGTGGTTCTGTGGGTGTAATTATCACAACCGTTCATTGGATCCCTGTCCATGGGCAAACCCTAACCTGAGATTAATTTAAGTAGCTGTATTTTATGGTAAGTGGCCTTGTCCTACTACATTGAAGGCAGAGCTGAGGTCCATAAACAGCATTCTGACATAGGTGTTCATTCCTTCCAGGTGGTGGAGTGCAGTGTGTCTTGTCAAGGAGACTGTGTCATCAGTAGATCTGTTTGTGCTGTAGGCAAACTGATGGGGATCCAAAGTGCTAGAAAGACTGCTCTTTATGTGAGCTAAGATCAGTTTCTCGAAGCACTTCATCACTATGGGTGTGAGACAGATGGGATGGTAGTTATTCATGAATGAGATGATGTGTTTCTTTGGTACTGAGAATATGGTTGTGGCTTTAAAGCAGGCGGCAATGGTAGACTGTGCTAGGGAAATGTTGAAGAAGTCTGTGAAGGTGACAGCCAACTGTTTGGCACACGCTTTCAGGACCCAACCTGGAATACCATCTGTGCATGCTTCTTTCCAAGTTGACACCCCAATCAGTGCTTTCCTCACCTCATCTGCAGTCAGTATGAAGGCTGGCTCTGTGGAGGCGGGCAGGACAGTCATAACCTGAGTCTGAGCAGTGATCTCAAAGTGGGCACAGAAAGTGTTCAGTTCAGCAGGGAGGGAGATGTCTGTAGTCACTGAGTTACTGACTTTGCTTTTATAGTCAGTGATTGCTCTCTTCCTTTGCCATGTGCATCAGCGATCTGAATTGGTGTTGAAGTAGACTGGAATTTGTGTGCTCTACTTGTAGCTTGCAGCCCTGATGCCAGCCTTTGGGTTGCAACTGGCAGCTTTAATTTGCTCACTGTTGCCAGATTTGAAGGCTGCATTGCATGCTTTCAGCAGACTGTGGACTTAACTCTTCTTCCACGGTTTTTGGTTTGGAAGTTTGTGAATTTGCTTTGTTCAAATCATATTATTTACATACTTCTTTATGAATCCGGTGACAAATGTCGCATATTTATTTACATCAACCCGTGAATACATTCCACCTTGACTGCAGTTTTAAACATGTTCCAGTCAGTACACTGATAGCAGTCCTGAAACACTGACTTTCCTTTCAGGCCACACACATCATGTTCTCACCATTGCTTTGACCCGTTTCAGCAGCTGTCGGTATGTGGGCTTCATCAGCAGAGAGAGGTGGTCACTTTTACCAAATGGAGGAGGTAGTGTGGTGCTGTAAACCTCATTGACATTTCTGTAGATGTCTCAGTGTGTCCAGCTTGTTTTCAAGTGACTGGACATTTGCAATGAGTAAACTGGGAAGTGATATCCTAGCTAGCGTCGCTGGCCTTGGCCGGGTTTAACTAGGACCCATTCACCCACCCCACCTCTGTTTATGTTTGCAAGGCTGTTGTCAGCATCTTCTGGTCTGACGTGAAGCTGAGGTTGACTTGAGGCCTCTGGGGTAAACAATGGTCAGCATGGGATTGAGAAATGGTAGGCTGAATGTATTGTCCTTACAGTGTTTTCTGATGTCTAGTAATGTTTACATCTTAGACAATGTATATAATATATAAATTATTACATGTACAGTGGTTGGTTAAGGTGATCAGGGGCCTCTACGCTACCCTTTGAATAGGCTCCACAACCCTCCCACACAAACACCAACACAAACACTCCCTCTTTCCACTACAAGAGGAAAGAAAATACAAAGAGAAAATTATGCTACTCCTCAAAAAAATGGAAAAACAGAATGATGAGTCACGTGTACATATGCACACACTCATACACTAGTTTGAATAGTAAGTACAGTACCAAGTACAGTAATGCAGCTGGTAAATCGGAACACAGCAAGTCTGTGAGCTGATTACGCAAGAGGCTTTGAGATCAACCAAGCACTGGATAAAGGCGCAGCTGAGATCCACCTTCTTACATTACTCAAGAACAAAGTCAATCTGCAGCCAGTTATGACAGTTACACAAACATCTCTTAATATACAAGAGGAAACAAAATTCCTACCTTTAGAATTTTTTCTTTCTGTATTCATTTAAGAGAAGGCATTTATTAGACTAGTGAAAGTCTGTTTTGATCCAATGTTGACCTCTGTGTATTTTTCACCAGTGCCAATTTGGAAAACCAGTGTTTACCACTCGCTTTAGTCACTGACAAAGTCATAAGCAGTCTAAGAGCCAAATGTAACACTACCCCTGTATGGTGGAAACAGCAGACACTACCTATATATACTCGTTTGCTTTAGAGCGTTTTAAAGAAGTACATCTTCTGGTGTTTATGTTGATGTTCTGACACAATTCCAGGCCCTGTATGCCCACATCTGTTCATCAATTTTCAGCCACTATGCTTGGTCCGAGCTGTAAGAAGAGGGAGCTGCTGTCATTGTCAGCGTTTCTTGGGTCCCCTCTTCTGTAGCATCTGTTAGAGTTCCCTCTGATGCAGCAGTTGAGTTTGTGGAGGCCATGGCAGCTGTTGGTGATTTTTCCTTTGCCTCTGTGCTCTTCAACTGATTACAGTGGCAGAACCTTGCTTTTCATGATTGCAAATAGTTTAGTTTGTGTCTATATTTGAGCTAACTGCAGTTAACCCTCTTAATATTTAGCCAATATACTTTAAACAGACCTTACCGACATACTTACTTGCTGTAGAATCAGGCAAAAACTACAACTGACCTACGAACCTTTCCAACCTAACCAATCCTGAACTCATGAAGTTAGTTCATTATAATGGGTCAAGGTGGGCTCATTTTTTTGATAAAAATATAGAATATTTTTTTTCTTGCCAGTCAGTGGGCTCCAATCCATGTATGGGCCTTTTGGCCGCAATCTAGGGTAGCCTGTCAGTTAATCCACCCCTGGTTATACGTTATTGTTATAACACATAACAACAACAAAAATATGTGAGGATTTGCTTTTTAAGCATAAAATGCTTAATTTGTTATAGAAGTGAAAATAATACACCTTTAAAATCCACACAGTCACACACTCACTCAACAGAGTCTTCTCCATAGTACAAAGGAATTGCCCCTAATATCACTTTGACAATTCATGTGGTTTTTAGATTGGCATGTTTTTCATCTATAACGAAGCGTAATGCTCGTGGTTTTTTACTGCTCTGATCTGAATGGGCACAAAACATTCTGCATAGTACAGATGGAAATTTTCTTAATATCATTACGGCCATTTACTTTTCAGCATTTAGATTTAAGGTTCATATCAACTCATTAAGATAATGAGATTCCTATATTAAAATATAAAGAGATATCCAAACATTGCAAATGAACATTACCATAATTCTCTATCCTTACTTAAAACCTTGAAGAATTATTAGGTACAACAAACTGAAAAGCTGATGAACACACTTTACCTGAACACATGACCCCTACGTCTTCTTTGTGTTCACATTCATACTTTCTAGACAAATGATATTTGCAGTTCCACAGGGACGTCTCGTTCCCCTCACACTCCACCTCATTCAGCCATATGGGTCCAGTTCCAGGTCCAAACTGGGCTGGTACCAGAGCACTGAGGGCCACTCCACACTGCAGCTGTCTGCACACCACCTGCGCATCCTCAATATCCCAAAAGTCATCACACACTGTCCCCCATGAGCCACTGTGGAAAACCTCCAGCCTTCCTGCACAGTCTCCCCCAGAACCAACCAGCCTGATGGAGCTGGGAGCTAAATTAAAATTACCCACACACACACACACACACACACACACACACACACACACACACCGTCAATGTCTGAGACTGAGATATGAATTATTTCTCACATGGTGAGCCATTTATGCACAATGTACATATTTAATTATCTGCATTACCCAATGATTTGCCTCATTACTACAAGTTGAATAGCACACAATGATTGGATATTTAAAACATGACCATATAAAAGTAGTGTTACTGTTGCTGACAACCGAAAATATATAAAGAGTATAATATTTACAAGAGCAGGTGATTGAGAGCTGTTCTCTGGAGCTGCAGTTGACTGTTTCTGCGCTGCTGCAGTTCCCCAGATGAGCTTCACTCCCAGAACAACTGAAACCCGTCACACACATGTGTCTGTGTTCAGGACTGGATGTAGAGGAGCTGGAGAAGCTAAACACAGAGCCACAGCCCAGCTGTCTGCAGACCACAGAGGCCTCAGACTCACTCCAGGAGTCCAGCAGAACTCTCCTCCAGTCCTGCCTGAGGTACACCTCCACCTCCCCCTCACACTCCATCCCTCCAGACATCCGCACTCGCCCCTCATGAAACACCAGAGAGGATTCTGAGAAGGGAAGCTATTACTTATTTGATTGAAAAGTTTCAAATTAATATTATAATTTGATTGAGGGGTCAGACACACAGAGGCATTTACTAACATGGTGTATGTAAGTCTAAGATGGAGTACACAATTTTAAGAGCTCACCACTGCAGATGACTCCAGCATCCTGTTTATGAGAGCATGCAGTCCGACTCCATGATGAAATGGGACATTTTGACAGGTGTGTTTCGTTCCCCTGACAATCAAACACATCAGCCCAGATCTGGCCACTCCCCTCCCCAAACCAGTCTGACCCCAACACAGCCACAGCACTCCCACACTTCAGCTGACCACAGAGGACACTGGCAGCTCTCATATTCCAGCCTATGTTACACACTGTGCCCCACTCACTAAGGTACTGGAGCTCCACTCGTCCAGAACAGGAGTCAGAGCCGTTCGCCAGCCAAGTCTGAGTGTGACCTGAATCAACATCACGTTAGAGGAATGACCATTAATAAGAGCAACTTATATAATGCTACAGGTAGTGTTTAACGATAGAGGTAAATATGAACACTTTACCAATACAAACCAGTCCCACATCACTGTCATGGGTGCAGTTGTGTTTGAGTGAAGATGATGTTGGACAGAAGTAAATCCGAGATTCATTGCCTCTACACTGAAGCTCCTCTGATCACACCTGACCCTCCCCTCTGCCAAAAGCAGCTGCTCCCAGCACCTCCGCAGGAAGCCCACAGCCCAGCTCTCGACACACAACCTCTGCATCCTGCTGGTCAAAGTCAGCATCACACACTGTGGACCAGGTCACTCCATGAAGAACTTCAACTCTCCCAGAGCACAGATGAGGACCATCACTAAGTCTGGATATGCGACCTGTGTGTATTTTAATTACATTAGGAGTGGCTGTACACTCTGTCTTGCATATGTAGGAGTATATTGCACTGTATTGGTGGGGTGAACTGTTTTTGACCTGTCAGGTTTGTATTTTATTAGCTCATAGAATCAGAATACATACATCAAACTTCATTTTCCACATTTTTTCTCATATTTCCACATTTAAGAGCCACTAGTGTAAAAGATGCAATTTAATTATTGTTAAAATCTTCATCAAAATGAAGCTGTCACTGCTGACAATGATGATGTATGGCCATCGTATATTTCTTGAGAGCTTACCAGAGCAGATGGCCCCAGCATTGTGCACATGACGACATCTATGTTTACCCCATCCTAGTGAACTGCAGTGTTTCAGTGTTGACTCTGATCCACTACACTGCAAAAAATCCATCCAGATTGGTCCTGATCCTGGTCCAAAGTGAGCATCCTTCAGTACATTTACAGGCTCTCCACAGCCCAGCTCTCTACACACCACTGCAGCACCATTCATATCCCAGCCACAATGACACACTATTCCCCACTGTCCTCTATGAAGAACCTCCACTCTCCCAGTACAGCGATTGTCACCATCTGCCAGCCTCACACCGACTGTAAAACAGAGAGTAAACTCTTTTACTTTAGTCTTTAGTTAACACTAGTAAGTTTCAAACTATTATTTTACCAAATTTGATTGCACCACCAAAACACCATCACTTCAATATGATGATAATAATATAATGTCAGAACTAATCAATAAACATACTGCCATGGAAACAGAGAAATATAAAAGAACATTTTTACTATTCCATGAAAAAAGTGAGAATAGAACATTGTGAACATGTTTTATGAGTAAAATTGAATATCTATTGCGAGTTTAATACTTAGTTTATATTTTCTCAAGACACTCAAATGTACAGCTTTTTAAACAATTGTTTCTGTCAAACTGACCCAACAGTAGCATTAATCTAGCAATAACATTATAACTCTTACAGAAAAAAGTACACATTTCACATGTGAATAGGTTTGCACACTTTATATATTAGAAATATTTTGTCACGTGAAAAAATATGCAATCACATATAAAGGCGTATTCACGTCAGTGGTCAAACATCACAAGCCAATTTGACAGAGCACAATGTAACTGATCAGTTCCATGCTTCATAAACAATTTTGAATTTATTTCATCAAATGTCAGGACTAAAAAAAAAGGTTTGTAAACAATTTAATTCTCAGGTATAACTATTTATTTTGTGATTTTTATGTTTATATGATGTTCCTTCCATCCAAAAATAGATGAAAGAGAGAGAGAACAGAGAAATTGTTTATGCAAGCTCACTGTCATAGCAATCCAAACCCAACTACACCAGAATTGTACAGTAAACTGTACACATATCAAAGGCGTAACTGTTTCAGGATTTCAATTTCAATACGCAGTCACCTCTTTCAATCTCATATGGTTTATTTGTTGACTGTGTGCTGGGCTGGTGCAGATTTATAGTATACCCACTTTTTTTCTTAAGACTACACCTCTGGTTCACACAGGAAAAAATGTGTGATCACATATACAGACGTTCACATGTGAAAAAAACATATAATCACATTTACTTCTAAACATGTGTAGTGTTTGCACACTTCACATGTAAAGAATATGTGTTTTTCTTAAGGACAGCTTCTGAGCTGTGGATGTTAGCTGTGGTTTCACTAAACTTGAGCCATAGATATTTCATGTTTCGAGCTGAAAGTAAAACCACAGCAAATAAGATGAATAAGCATGAAGAAGAGCATTTCACTGCTCATACAATGGTGCAAGCAATGTAACGGTTTATTGAAAGTAGTAAATATATTTTTAATTATTATTCCTTTACCATCACACACCAGTCCCACATCATCGTCATGGGAGCAGTTGGGTTTGAGTGAAGATGATGTTGGACAGAAGTGAATCTGAGACTCGTTGCCTCTACACTGAAGCTCCTCTAACCACACCGGACCCTCCCCTCTGCCAAAAGCAGCTGCTCCCAGCACCTCCACAGGAAGCCCACAGCCCATCTCTCGACACACAACCTCTGCATCCTGCTGGTCAAAGTCAGCATCACACACTGTGGACCAGGTCTCTCCATGAAGCACCTCCACTCTCCCAGAGCAGCGAGAACCACCAACCAGCCTGACTTCTAAAATATTATCAGGAGACAATTATTTGGTGATCATGCATTACATGTGTTTGTAAATGACAGCAAAGTGTTTAAATATCTGTTTTATTAAAATGTCTAAGATGTGTGAGATGTTTGTTCACATCAAAGCAAAATGTAAATGGTCAATGCGCAATCCAGCTTAACAATAGACTTCTTAATAAATATTAAAAAAAAAACAACTTTTTTTAGTCACATAAGAAGTTTAAGATTGTAAACTTATAAAGGCCCAAGTACAGCTAAATAGCCATTAAAGCTGTTGAATGAAAAAGTAGTGTGGAATTCATGAGCAGACGTCAAAAGTAAAACTAAGTTGCAAGTAAATTTCAAGTCATGTCAGTTTCAACTCCTGAGTCAGTATAGTCAAGCCTCAATTCAAGTCCCAAGTTAATACAGGGAAGTGTTAAAGAAACTAAACATTCTAAACTTGTCAGTTCTTTAATTTTTTTCATTCTTTAGAAAATTTAACATTTTAAATTCATTAAATTAATTTCAAAACTGTACACCAAAAATTATGGTAACAGATATATAGCCTATTTAATTGACAGTATTATGGCGTTCACCATAGGCCACACTGCTGTGAGGAGCTTAGGAGGTGTGGCCATGCAAACCAGCTCTCAAAATGCACCATGCTCTCAGGTTAAAAAGTTACTACTGCTACTGATATTGCTGTTGTTGTTGTTGTTGTTGTTGTTGTTGTTGTTGTTGCGACCGAGGAGAGTGGTTTTACAGTATGTTGAAGTGTCCATCCTCCATGGATGTTCGTCCTACATTACCCCCTATTCATGCTTTTTTGTTGGCTTAGGTCTGGGCTGGGCTTTTCTTGCTGTCTATTGAAGTGCCTGTTATAAATAAAAGAGCATTTGTCCATATGGTCATTTTTGTCTTCGGAAGCCACAATGTTATCATGGGAGATGGGGTTGGGTGTTATTTACTCATCGAGTCCCCTCTTTAGCCAGACTTTGGGCCATGAATCTTTCCAAATCAAAGTCCAAGTGATTATTGTTTAAGTAAAAGTTGAGTCTCAAGTCATCAAATTCGTGAACTGAAGATAATAGTGAATAGTGTGGAGTGTATTAGCAGGAATAGGGAAAAGTCACTAAGCTGCAAGTAAATTTCAAGTCAAATAAGTTTTGAGTCCTAGGTCAATTCCCAAGTCAAGATAGTCACTCAAGTCTACACCTCTGTGTATTAGTATGTCAGTGCTAAAGGTATTATAGTAATGATTACCTGCACAAATGACTGCAGCATCTTTTTCATGATTACAGTTATGTTCACCCCATCCTGCTGATTTACAGTTCTTCAGTGTAGACTCTGATCCAGTACAGTGCACGTCATCCATCCAGATTGGTCCTGATCCTGATCCAAAGTGAGCATCTCTCAGTGCATCTACAGCTTCTCCACAATGCAGCTCTCTACACACCACTAAAGCATCTGTCATATCCCAGTAGTCATCACACACTGTTCCCCACGTTTCATTGTAATGAACCTCTACTCTCCCAGCACAGCGACTACCACCATCCACCAACTTCACGCTGTCTATATAACATAGAGAGAGAGAGAGAGAGAGGGGAGAGAGAGAGAGGGAGACAGACAGAGAGAGAGAAAGTAAATATTAGTGTTTCACGAAACATAATAAACCATGTATATAACCATGCTGCTGGGCCTGGTTCACATCAGCAGATGCTTCTTGTGAATTGCAAACTCAAAATGTTTGAGTGTTTTTAGCCAAAGTAGTTGTAACCCACACCTCCTATCTCATTTTATTGACTAGAGCCCAGGTTTGCTAACTCCTGACTTCAGTTAATTAGTTATTACCCTAAGGGTTCACATACTTTTTCCAACCTACTCTGTGATAGTTTGAATGATGTATTCAAGATAGACAAGAACAATACATTATTTTTTTCTGTTC